TATCCAGTGCACTGACGAGCAACAAAAACAGGAGCTGAATGCAAGCTACAATACACTGAACAAAAGAGTGAAGAAAAGTGCCAGGGAAGACAAAAGAAAATATTATGAAACCATGGCAAACGAAGCAGAACAAGCTGCAGGCAAAGGAGACCTCGCCACACTCTACCAAACAACTAGGAACCTTTCGGGCAAACGTTCGACACAGATTAAGCCAATAAAGGACGACAATGGAAAGTCAATCACCAAAGAGGTGGAACAGAGAAAGCACTGGGTTGAACACTTCAAAAGACTTCTAAATCGTCCGCCACCTACAACACGTCCAGCAATACCAACAACGGAAGCAGAACTACCAGTGAACACTGACCCCCCGACGAAATCAGAAGTCCTGAATGCAATCAAGATGCTTAAAACTGGGAAAACACCGGGACCAGATGGAATCCCAGCAGAGGCTTTGAAAATAGACCCAGAGACAACAGCGGACTTGATGACACCACTGCTGGAGAAGGTGTGGAAAGAGGGCAAAGTACCCGAGGATTGGAAGAACAGTTACTTATTCAAACTTCCAAAGAAAGGAGACTTAAGTCAATGTAAAAACTGGCGTGGAATTATGCTTCTGTCCATTCCAAGCAAGATACTAAGTCGCATCATCCTGGAGAGAATCAAACAAGCCCTAGATGAAAAACTTCGTCCGGAACAGGCTGGATTCAGGAGAAACAAATCATGTATTGATCAAATCGCCACTCTACGGATCATCATTGAACAAAGCTTGGAATGGCAGTCACCTCTCTATCTCAACTTCATCGACTTTGAAAAGGCCTTCGACAGCGTCGATCGAGAGGTCATTTGGAAACTACTTCGCTACTACGGGGTCCCATCGACAATTATACACCTCATCCAACAGTTATACGACAATGCTGCATGCCAAGTAATCCACAACGGGAAACTTACGGAAGCCTTCGAAGTGAGGACGGGAGTGAGGCAAGGCTGTCTACTATCACCAATGATCTTCCTGATTGCAATTGATTGGATAATGCGACAGACAACGGCAACCAACGAGGGAACAGGCATAAAATGGACTGACACAAAAGACTTGGAGGATCTGGATTTCGCCGATGATATATGTCTGATTTCCCATAAACTGGAAGATATGCAAGTGAAAAGTAACAAGTTGGCAGAAGAAGCATCAAAGATAGGACTTCACGTGAACATAGATAAAACAGAGATGATGAAGATTCCTAGCCAACATCAACAACACAACAGACCACAATAAGCATAAATGGGAAGAACCTGAAAGAAACAACCTCCTTCACCTACCTGGGAAGCATCGTCTCAACTACAGGCGGAACTGACGAGGACATCAAAGCCAGAATCGGAAAAGCAAGACAAGCTTTCATTACTCTCAAATCTGTGTGGAGGTCAACAGCAATCAGCATCAAAAATAAGATCCGGATTTTCAACTCCAATGTGAAGTCAGTGCTACTATACGGATCAGAGACTTGGCGAGTCATAAAGAGCATCTCAAACAAACTTCAAACCTTCATTAACAACTGTCTCCGCTCAATACTCAAGATCAGATGGCCAGAAAAGATCAGCAACAGGGATCTCTGGGAGCGAACCAATCAGGAACCGATTGTGAAACAAATAGGCAGAAAGAAATGGAGATGGATTGGCCATACGCTGAGGAAACCATCAAGTGACATCACTAGACAAGCCCTCGAGTGGAACCCGAAAGGGAGGCGGCGAGTTGGTCGTCCAAGGGTGACTTGGAGGAGGTCATGCGAGGAGGAGATGAAAGCATGTGGACAGACCTGGAGCAGGGTGAAAAAGTTGTCAGAAAACCGAAGTCAATGGAGGTGCGCAGCTGAAGCCCTATGTTCCTCTAGGAACTAAAGGATACAATAATAATAATAATTGAGTATTTTATCTTTAGCTAGTATCTTCACAGTTCTATATGTTGGGGTGTGACAATGGTTGGCCTATAGTCGTTGACTTCTGTTTTCGAGCCTCACTTGTGTTTACGTATAATGAATGTCTTTTCTCATTTGACCGAGTAGGTTTGAGCTTCTAAAGACGTCGTGAAGATTTTAAGCAGTAATATGGAAATTTCAGGACTACCATATCTACAGAAATACGATGGTATGCCTTCAGTGCCAACACCTTTAGGGCTTTCAACAGTCCTAATGGCTTAGTTGATGCGAGCATAAGTGAATTCAATGGTACTAATTTGTTTCGGCGTGCGTAAAGGTAAGAATGGTATCATATAAGTTAGGTGTATATCAAGTCATGGGATTGTGGGCCTAGGGCAGTTATCTGCAAATGTTTTTTTGGATAATTCACACATGTCTGCAGGGTCATTGTATAGCTATTGTTCTTGTGATTCAACCACTTCTTTACGATCTCCGTGAGTGCACACAATTTATCAGGGCTGGCCGGTGCGCTGCGTCCTTCATCACTTATACACAAATCTTAGGACTGTGACGTGGCGATCAGAACATTAAGTATTAACCCTCGTGTGTCAAATTCGTGGGGTTTTAAATACATTTTCGACAGTCTCCTCAGTTTCATGCGATCCTTTGGTTTTAGAAATGGCGTTTAATTTTAGAAAAATTTCGTGTTTTCAGTTCAGCATCTAAACATGTTTGGTATCTGGTAGAAGACGCCTTGAGCTTTCTACAGGTTACCAATGATGAAGAATCCTCCTAACTCAGAGGATCATTGCGCCGATTTTGCGAAAGCCAAGTTTGCCTTATTACAACTTCTATGTCAGTGGCTGAGAAGTGGATGTATTAGATGCATTGCTACTCAGTGAAAGTGGCAGTGCATAGAGCACTGTTTTTCAGTCTGTATCTGAAAACTCGGAGCAAACTAAGGTTGAGAGGAGACAAATCAAGTGGCACAAAAACAAGTTATCACCTTTGTAGGGATAGAAACAGTTTGCTCCTGAGGAAAATGCTCGGCCTTCCTAGCAGTTTGCCATATTTGGCTGGGTCTCTCAAGAAGTCCCAGATGATTTCGGATAGGTTGAGGTATCCACATGTGGCCTTATGGTCGGATGGCAGAGTGAGCACTTGCTCCGGTGCACTTAATAAAATGGGTCTCGTAGTCGCAAAAGGTGCCAGGTGCTCTGTAAATGTATCCACTTAGTACTGTAGCGTTTTCGAAGTGTACGTTGATCCAGGGACTGTCGTGCATGTTGTTGATTCCCCTATTTTCTGGTTGTAATACAGTATGTGAATTCAGGAAGTGCATAAGGAAGCCTCCTCCGTTACCACTACTCCTGTAACACCAGAAGTGTGTGTATTCATCGATGCTTGTCTCTGCGTCTGGTATACTAGAGTAACAAGAAATCTCAGTAATAATAATTGTGGGTGAGGGCGTTGATATACGAGTGTGTGTGTGTACCAGAGCACCGGTGGTTTGTTTAGGATAGATTTAGGTAAGGAGTAGGTAAGGTTGAGGTTTGAAATAGTGTTTGAAGTTTTGGGCTCGTTAATCTGGCGCAGGTGTGGTTCGGCATCCAGTGGTTCTGCGTTGCATGACGATCCTGTGTTACAAGCAGTATCAGCATCATCCCCGCCTATGTCAATTGAGTCCCTATGCGCTAAGTGGAAGGACTAAAGCACTCAATGTGAGTTGATAATCTGCATCTGATGTTAAGTTGTGAATCAAATAAACAGGTTGCAAGAATGCAACACACACTTCTATGTTAACATGGTGCTATCACATGGAGATGATTTACTGTGATTTAGAATACTGGTTCACAATGAACAAAGATTAGGTGATGATATTCGACCCTACGTAGCAAAGCTTTGTAACATTGAGGAGAGGATGTTAAATGACAATAAAAGCGGATACAAAATCATAGCTCGCGACGAGCACATGGTAACCAATGATATAAAAGAAACAGATTTCCCTGAGTTCCTGTTCACTGATTACTGACATCATCTCACTTGCTTTGGTACTGTCCGAAGAGAGAATTACATGAACTTGATTTGAAAGTTTCCAGAAAGTTAAAAATTTAAAGTATGCGCAACACTACTGAAAACAGTTGCTAGTAATTCAGTAGTCCCCCATCTGTTTGAGGTGCACCCGAACGGTAGGTTCTGAGTGAGTATTGCTATCTTGAATGTTCAGTGACTCACTTTTCTGAGAAACCAAAAATGTTCGTTTTCGGAAGTTTGTAGCAGTTTGTGAAGATCGTCTCAACACACAAGATGTGTGTGCCACATTGTAGCCTTATGCCCAGTGAAACTCTTCCTCTTGTGCATGAGTTTGTAACTCACAGAATGAGTAAAATTCTGTCCATAGCTGTGGTCATCTGAAGGATCCGACTAACAATATTTCAGAGAGATTAATCCACCGGATAAGTGGAGCAGGACTGCATTAACGTAAGTGCTGATTTGCTAGTACATCCACCTTGAGAATGACACTGATGTTAAAAGAGAATTATTCCTACCAGTGGGTTATAAAGACATAAAGGCATTTAAATAGCACAACACATAATTAATTGGAGAAGTATCTTCCAGCTAATGGATGATGCAATAAACACATGTTAGAAGAAACTAGTGTATAGTTTGTGAGGGTGCTACAATTTTTTCCAAGTGAACTTGAGTGAAACAAGCGTCAGTTATAGAAAAGGGTTCTTTTGGACTGACTTTATGTTTGTACACAAGTACGATTCCGGAATCTCACACAATGGCTATTTCTTGTCCGTACATACATTGTGGTCTGTGGCAGGGGTATCGGGTGTGAGAGAATGTGTAGAAATTCGAATTCTTCTGATGCAGATGTAAAAAGGCCATGAGTATTGGAGTGCTTGTGAACATGGTGCACAATCTACAGATCATATAGATGTCTAGACGTTTTTGTTGATTAAGAAAAATATACATAAATAATGATTGTTACTATACTTTGGCGTCTAGGGAATAATTACTATTAATGAACACCAGTGTAACACAACGTGTTACCTAAATCACTTTCTTAAATGCTTCGAACTGAGAAATGAAATGAGTGTTGTTTTACCGAGCTAAACTAATGTACAATATCGACGAGGCACGTCAAGTTCCATGTCTTCAAAGGCCGTTTACGAAGAGTCTGCTAAGTCAATAATTTATCAATCTATATGCTGTTCACAATTGTCAAAAAACCCTCTCCGGGTTTTTGAAGCAGGCAGTGACTTAAGTACTGTGACAGATGATTGGATATTACAAGGCGTACGAAAAATATTATAACATTCCAATCAATTTTGTTTTTGCAGAACCTTGTCAGTAAACCGGATGTGCTTATTAAACGCAGAGGAAAACTGGGTCTGGTGTTTGCAGGTTTAAAGTGGACAGATGTGCAGAAACAACTGAGTAAATTTCTAGGACGTAGTCTCAATGTGAGTGTTTCAATTAACTGTTTTTATCTTGTACGCGTTGACTAAATGATGGTAAAAATCTGCAATCATTTTTTCGTGCGTTTATATATCACTACATCCTTTCAACTTTCTGTTTTTTGGGTTCTGGATTTTTGATTAATAATAAGCTAATATGACATTTCTTCTGTGCTATTGCGATCTCTGGAGATTATTCATCTGAATTAATGTATATAATGATAAAAATATGGAAATACATTAAACCTGGTGTAAAAACCTTTATAGAGTAACACTCTAACAAACCTTCTGGTACACTTGATTAACGAAATCTTGAAAAATACCTTATGGCTAGTTTTATAATTTCTAAACTTGGTTATCCTTGTTAAGAATGTCTTTCTTTTCTCACCATTGCCATAGGGGAGGAATAAAGCCAAGGAAATTTAATCCTAGTTGTAAAGTTATCCCTAAGGTAAACATATAAGTATGCTTATACATTCCTTTTTGGCGTCGATATCATAGAATGGGGCCCGTGCTACCGCAAATCTCGCTTCACTTTTGTCCTCTGACTTCCACATTTATTCTCACAAAACTCTCTGAGTTTATTAAAGTTTTATTATGTCCAAAATAAAGCTTAATTTAATACTTTATACAATTTTATACGCTACCAAAAATAAATGGAGATATAGTTGTTGGTAGATCCATGGTGGTTTTTATGCGATGTACATATGTAACTGCTGTAAAGCGATCTAAAAGGCAATTACAGAGGTTAGACTCGATTTAAAATGCTTTATTGTCTACCACTTACCTGAACTGATACAACTGCATTTTCCAGGATAGTTGTGGAGCATTTTGGCTCCAGTTAGTATTGTTTGAAGTTGTAGTCATTTTTAACATGCCTAGACAATTATTGTTTCTATAAATTTTTTACTATCTATCTTCACATGCGATTTTGAGGGTGATAACCTCAATTGCTGCACTCGTCTGCAAAGTTCCATGTCACACACTTAATCAGTTACCATCGGTAGCCGTATGCCTTTTATGTATTTCGGCTCATTTTGCCTGGTTGTATGTGTAAATTTTTTTTATTTTTTCGGTCTCTGATTTTACGTTGCTTCATGTTTTTTAATTTTTTTCCAGATTGGTTCTACTTCTGGGATTCTTGATCGCTTCATTATCGAGCCTTTTGTGCCACATGAACAGGTAGTTTTTCATCACAGTTTCACGTATATATACTTATTACATTGAATTGATCTGTGGTTTTGTGTATCGCTTCAATAGGTGACAGTTTATACCCTATCCTAAGATCTCAATTAAATGTAGCTAATTTCGTCTTAATCCGATGCTATATCTTTCCTTTTCGAAACTATGATGACCATTAGACACCCACAAAAAGTACGATAAGAATCATGCAAGCCTGATGCGTCAGACACAAAATTCAAAAAATTGCTATTGTATAATTCTTAATAAATTTTCAATAAGAGTTACTAATCACAGGTTTCAATGGAAGTATAATATGCGTACATGAAATATTGTTTGCAAAAATATTAGGAAAGTGTTAAATTGAGTGCAATACACTTCTTTATGACCAGCAGACTATAATTTCCCTCATTTAAAAGAAAATTTAGAATCCTTAAGGTGTGGTCAGTTCAAAATTTAGTGTGAAATATATGATCTATGTCTAGTCCTTAGCTTGAATGGATTATTTATACAAACATTTTGATGTATTGTTTCACTTCTAACCTAATTGCTTCACTTGTCATTATTAAGACAATACTTTGTGCAGATTGAAATGGGTACCATCGTTGTTTATTTTGTTGGCTTCTCATCAGCTGGATACAGCTGACAAATATTTTACATGATGTCAGTTAATAGTAGGCTCCAAACATAATAATCAGTCCTCAGAAGACTACTGGGAAAGTTAAAGTTTAAACGAAAATAAATGTTTGCATACAATGGTAAAGAAGTTACGTAATAAAGATAAGAGCTGAGTAAGATGATGAGTAACTAATAAGTTGGGTAACAACATACTGAGTTCAACTCAAACCATAGAAATAAGAGACAATCACAGTTAAACTATATCACATGGGGAAGAGGTTAACGAAGGCGTGAATACATCCAGCTTCTATCAGAACACGCTAAAATCGGCTTTCAGTAGGTGTTTGATAGCGTTTTTGTTTGAAGAAACTTAAGGAGAGTTAAACTATTTTGTTTACTGGTTATTTTAAAGGACTTTGTGATGTCCACTTCATGACCTATATGACAGTGCCACTATTGTAAGCATTTGTCCCTTTGAGACATCGTAGACTTTGTGGTACATGTTCAGGAAACCAAAGGTTTGTCCTCCTTAGATATATATGTAAGTTTGTATACAGAGTTGGAGTTGACACGACAAGGGTACCTGTCAACTTTTGATTGCACCAGAAGTGAGCATGTTTTCCGATAAACACGAACCAACCAACTTAACCGCAGGATAACCAACCTAGCTAGCTAGTTAGATATTCAATCTACTGTTATCTACTCCTGCGATATTGTCACCTTTCGAATCGAGATGAATGAACGCGGATTTGTTTTTCCTCCCCTGTGATTTGTTTTTGGATTTGTACCATCGCATATTCAGTACTTCTTAATAAGCTTCTGAGGGTGACCATTGTTTTTCAAATGCATGACGTCAAACATATATTCAGACTTAGTTTTATTTATTGACGTTTAAGTGAATAAGTAGCGTGTCCTGTCTACATAGTCATATATATATATATATATATATATATATATATATATATATATAAACATTCACGTGTTTGTGTTTAGTTACATATCGAATGTATCTATACACTAAACTCTTTATTATGTACTTTACTGGCATTATTTCAATACTTCCGATTTAAACAGTATGCCTTTTGTAACACCTTTTGCATACATCATCGCTGTCTCCGCAGGATTGCTTACTTTCGATGGCATCATCGTATGAGTAATTCTAAGGTTCGGTGGCGTGTGTTTTAACACAATGGAGATCATCATTTGTTGGGTGCCGTCATCTGGAAACACCGACTTCGTTGGCTTGGACACGTGCTGCGAATGTCATCACAGAGGCTTCCGTACAGGTCTCTGTTCGCTGGCCAGCCCTGGGGTGGGATGAAAAAGGCGGAGAGGTGGTCAGTCCATGACGTGGTGTCGTGGGCTGAAGGATTTTTTGTGCTAGATTAGCATCGGTTGGTGCGTCACGACTCCCTGGTTGGGGTCGGAGAGATAGCTCGAATCGATGGCTCGAAACGTTAGCGGGTATGGCGAAGGATTGTAATCAATGGTGAACGTGTTGCAGTTTCCTTCTCTCTTCCCTTTCCGATGATAGTTGACGAATACTATTTGAACTTGTTAAGTATAGCTTTTGACTTCCTAATGAAGTCTTTTTTCCCATTCTCCACACATTTTTACTTTCAATCTATGTTGTTTTACTATTGTTGTGTAGCTCATCTTGATGCCACATTGTACCAAGTTTTTCTGCGTATAAATAAATAAAGCATAACACACTATTTACTTATTTGATTTTGTTCTAATTCTTCAATGTCTGTCTTTCAACGAAAATTACTGAAAAATCTCTTGTGGGTCTTTGAAGTCAGAAGAATATTATCTATGCATATATACACAAAGGCATTCCAATGTTATTCTTTTCCATCATGAAGGTGGTGTAGAAGTTGGTCAAGTGGATTTAAAAGTAAGTTAAAACTTCATTTCATTAATACTATTATTTTTTTAATCAGTATTATTCCCTTTGGTTCCGAGTGGATCACGATGTCCGCATTTTGTCCTGTCATCTGCAGTTCCCCCTCCCCCAGTTGGTCCCACGATTACTTATCTCACACCCTCATCTCTAGCTCATACAATCGCCTCAGTGTCACTGTCTGTCTGGCCTGCGCCCAACTTGTCAAGCTTTGGCCTGGCGAGAGATATCACTACCTAACTGACGACCTCCTCAGCTTGTAATCCCAGTCCATATCTGTTTCTATTTATTTATTTATTTAGTTCGTTCGTTCACAGAGTTGCTTATTGCTAATTGTTTCTGGGCCAACCAGCCACATGATCTTCAGTAAGGAGCCAGCAAAGTGAGCCACTGTTAATAAAAGACTATAGTAGCCTGTTGAAAATGCTTCTGGTGACTATCTTTGTTCAACTTCTCTGATGTATTGATTAGCATTAGCAGCTAAGGCTTATGACAACTGATATCTTTTCCTTGCTATCATTTTTCGTATATAGTTGGTTTGTAAGGATTAGTTTTATTTTTACGAGTTTGACCGTGGATTGATATCAGTTAGAGAACCATTGAAAACCAGCATTGAAATACTGGACAGTTGCCGTTTCATCCTAGTTTGAGAATCATCGAAAGTACGCACCCCACTACACGGGTTCCAACTCAGGACCTTTCGGTTACAAAGCAAGTTCGTATACCATTCAGCCACTGGGACTCGAGTCAATGACCAGTGCATGAATTCTAACTTTTACCGATTCGTGATTTAGCACGACCCCAATCAATGTCGTCGGTGGGACATCCATCCTCACATGTGACACCTGGATGGACCTCACTGGTCACGACTTCTCACAAGAACTGACTCCAGGAAACTCCATCCTGTAGGAAGTCACTAGCGAGCGAGCATCAGATTAATTTTCTATGATTGGTTTGAAGGGATTAATTTTGTTTTGGTCGACGAGCACTCTACCGCTGTGCCACCGACGCACTCTACAATTATAAATCCTTTAATTAATTTAAGCATACAATAGCCCCCAACCAGTAAAGGCTGACTAGAATCATATCAGAAAGTGAATTGTGGAACAATAGTCAGTTAGTTTTAGAATATGCATGATCAATGACAACTTGAAATAAAATGAGATGAAGTAATTTAATTTAATTTAATGGTGTGTGGTTGTATATACATATATATAAATACGTTCAACAAAAATACAGGTTTCGAGAATGATTACAATCAGTGGTATGTGAGAATGGTATGGTATGTGTGAATACTACAGAAAATAAACCAACTAATGAGGTGGACTAGACATAAGTTTAAAAGGCTGAAAATAACGACAACAATAATAATGATTGTAAAATATTTAATAACGATGATGTGACGTAAACTTAAAACTACTATTGGTGAATAATTCTCAGGTTAATAATAATAATAATAATAATAATAATGAATTTAGTGAAGCGGAATGAACAGGATTTTGTAAATACGATAACAAGTTAAAGCAATTAGTTCCCTTTATGAATTAAGATACAGCAATAAGAAGACATAATTTGTCTAAATCGTGCGCAACACATTTCGAACAATATGATCCACCACACACGAACTTATCATAGGAATAAATATGAAATTAACAAAGAGTTAAGAGGTGAGAAAATAGACTACTTAGGTCAAGTTAAAAGGACACATTCAAGGTCAAAATAACAAAGAAGACCACTAAACCAAATAGCAGAGGTAGTAGTACACTTTTGCTATGGTATCAAAACAAAATTTACCAAAGAAGGTTTAGTATGATAACGAATTGTTGCTTTGATCGCAAAAGGTGGTTAAAACTTTCTGATTGCCAGCTTGGGCTTCTACAAACTTTAGGATACGCCCCAAACAAATTTTATAAATAGGTTTAAAAGACCTGTTAACGTTAATTTTATGACCTGTCTCTATAATATGTTTCGCAATCGAAGAGCTAGGTCTCCTGTTCTCACGATTAATCTGTTCTGAAGATTCCATTTGTTTCTGAAGCCATTTAGGAATATGCTCTGAAGCCAACGCTTACTTGTAGAGATGGATGAGTCCTCCCTCCTATGCATGTGTGGTCTAAAGTACATTCAAACTGGTAAATACAATGCGGCATGTGACATCATTTTTCGCATGTTCGAAGGGCTTAGGTGGATGGATATATTGACTTCACATTCTCAATTATTATGATATTAGGTGCATAAAAAGTCTTTTTAACCACAACAGCGTTCAGTCTTTGTCTAGTTATCAAACTGCTATATAACAAGTTAGAAAAGCACTACTTGAACCTAACTAAGGTCATGAAATCATAAAAAAGTCGAAAATAAACGTTTGTCAATGAAACGAAGGAATAGAAGAAGAAGAAGAAGAAGAAAGGAAAATAAAATTGTGATGGGAATTTAGAGTGCTAATCCATGAAATCCTTGACAGTTAAACTGAGTCAGGTAGGGAGGGAGATGCAGACTCCCGGGTTGGGGCCCTTAGGACTGACTCTAGGAATCAATGGCTGGAGACAATAGGTGACATGGCTCAAAATCGTTGTCAATGGCGCAGATGTATTCACAGTCTCTGTAATCTTTCATATTCCTTTCTACCATTACCCATTCTGTTTCACTCTTATACTTGTCAGACTGTATTGATTCACTTCACTCATCTTCTTGTCTACTTTTGTGTGCTATTTGGAAGGTGGCAACTCGAACTGGTGCACTTCGGTGCCAAGTTCTATGTTGAATCCAGACAGACAGACAGAGTGCTAATATTTATAAAGGATTTGTTGGCTTTATTGTAGGTCAACACAGGTAAACACAGGGTTTGAACATACATCATCTATATACAAAGAGTTGGTGTTCCAGTCATTGATTGCAACCGCTTCATTTTCGACTTTTTATGATTTTATTACCTTGGGTTTAAGTAATGATTTCCTAACCTGTTATCTTATTTACAAATTCCTGTTCATTTCACTTCACTAAATTCATTATTATTATTATTTGGCAATCAATAACCAATGGTACTTTTAAGTTTACGTCACATCATCGTTATTAAATATTTTACAATCATTATTATTGTTGTCGTTATTTTCAACCTTTTGAACGCATGTCTAGTCCATCTCATTAGTTGGTTTATTTTCCATACCACAAAGTTTTTGCTAAGTGAGAAGTTGTTTTTCCTTCCAATTTTCTGATCTCATCAGATTGAACATCGGCTTCAAAATTTGCTTTTTGTCACTAGGGATAGATAACAGTTTTGTTTTGTAATCGCTTCTGCCCAACTACACAACTACATCAGATCCTTTTTGTCAGGTTTCAAAATAACTAAGTCAGATCTTCTACGGTTAGATGGAGATTAAAGTAGCATCTGAAAAGGTGAAATTGGATGTCTTTTAAACCTTGTCCCTCAAGTCATACATTCCCGAAGGCATTATTTTACAAATCTCTTCGATCTTCAACCAAATTTATCAAATCTTATTCACGTTACAAAATCTCACACATTGACAATTCTAATGAGAGGTTATGTGGATTAATAGAACTCCATTTATTGTCATCAAATATATTAATTGTCTGATGTTTCCATAATTTGATTGCATAGAGGATTTAATCATGAGCTGACATTGGTAAGAGAACCACTGGAAAACCTGCTGGGAGTACTGGACAGCCGTTTCGTCAGTCTAATTTGGGACTCTTCAGAAGTACGCACTCACCGGGGTTCGAACCCAGGACCTTCTGGTTACAAGGCTAGCGAGTTCGTAGACCATTAAGCTACTGGGACCCGATCCAATGGTCTTTGAATTCTAACTTCTGCCAGTTCACGACATAGCGCTGTAACAACAGAAGACAAGGGCCAGGAAACAGATCGTTTTATTATGAAAATCAACACGTATTTATACATATTTCACATACATTATTATAGACAAGCGCAGTCATCTGATTGGTTGTTTATCAGAAGTTAGGCAGACAAACGCAGGTTTCTGATTGGTTGTTTCGGGATTCCTCGACAAATAGAGTTCTCTATCTGCGAATCATATTTTGCCACGTTAACTTTGCTGTGATTGGTTGTTGAATCAGCCTTGTTCATATTTTCTCACGGCCCATATTAACGTAGATTAGTGTCAACCAATCGGCTAGCAGCCTGCTCTCACCACAGCGCGACCACTTCGCAATGTCTTCTTCAGTGAGTTACTGCCTCATCTTCAACCTGCTGTTGTACCCTACTGGTCACGGTTTCCCACTAGAACAAGAGTCCCAAACTAGGACGAAACAGCTGTCCAGTACTCTCAGCAGGTTTTCCAGTGGTTCTCTAACTGACGTCAGCTCATGATTAAATCCTCCATGCAATCAAACAAAATCTCCATAATTTGTCAAAGAAAGTTTATTAATTTTTGTAACTCTGCCGTTAATATGACGAAAGAGAATACTAGATTGAAATTGCTTGGATCTTGTACCTCTGACATCCAATTAAACCAATTCCTATTAAATCTTGATAAGTATAGTTATTCAAATTTATCAAATGGACTAATTGTTTTACTTATTGTTTGTCGCTATTTTCAACCTTTTAAACTTATGTCTAGTCCACCTCATTAGTTGGTTTATTTTCTGTAGTATTCACACATACCATACCATTCTCACATACCACTGATTGTAATCATTCTCGAAACCTGTATTTTTGTTGAACGTATTTATATATATGTATATACAACCACACACCATTAAATTAAATTAAATTACTTCATCTCATTTTATTTCAAGTTGTCATTGATCATGCATATTCTAAAACTAACTGACTATTGTTCCACAATTCACTTTCTGATATGATTCTAGTCAGCCTTTACTGGTTGGGGGCTATTGTATGCTTAAATTAATTAAAGGATTTATAATTGTAGAGTGCGTTGGTGGCACTGCGGTAGGGGCGCCCGCCAACCACGCGGATGGTTCGGGGTCCGATCCCCGGTCGACGCACTCCTTTACCTCGGGAAAGCAGTAATAAGCCTGGTGAAGAGGGAAGGTTAAGCAAGCCTCTAGCCTTCACGCTTTCAGGGAACAGGGATTCAAGCTAGAGGCTTGAAGTTTCTGTAGAACAGGGGTGAGTATTTTTACAGGATGGGGTTCCTAGCCTCACACTTTAATCTTCCCTCTCTACCAGACTTATCACTGCCTTGCTGAGGTAAAAGAGTGCGTCGACGGAGGATTGAATCCCGGTCCACCTGCGTGGTCGGTGAGAACTCTACCGCAGTGCCCCCGACGCACTCTACAATTATAAATCCTTTTAATTAATTTAAGCATACAAAAGCCATCTTATGTTCCACTGGGAACATAAAGGAATAAAAAAGGATGGTTGCACAGCCTGAAGAAGAGTAACTTTATTGAAACCACGATTGTTCTGAATGAATTATAGGGATATTCAAGTTACAATTATATTTGTAAAATCTTAGCGAAATTAAAATGATTAATTCCAATGTTTCGTTCAACAATCTGCTCCGAACTTCTACAGAGAAATTAATCGAAATTAACATAACAGAGGCTTATATATATATAAAACGATGGACATCTCTTGTTTTAAAGAAAATTTTCTCTAAGCATATGAATCATGAAACAGTTATCAACATGTATAATGAACAAACAAAATTGTGTGAACTGTAATCAAAATCTGACCTCAGACTTACAAATATGAGTCTACTTTTGTTACATACTTTAAACAGAGTGTACTTTTCACATCAGATTACGTTCGACTAAAAGTTCATGGTCATAGATAACTGAATATGAAAAATATATATGTGTATATGCAGTATACATTGGTGTGTGTGTATGTGGGTTTAACAGTTGTAAAACATAATAGTTGTAGTGGGAACCTGTGACCATTAGGGTGCAGCAGGTTGAAGTTGAGGCAGTAACTCATCGAAGAAGACATTGCGAAGTGATGCAATGCGCTATGTAATGAATTGACAGAAGTTAGAATTTATGGACTGGTCATTGATTCGGGTCCCAGTGGCTCAAAGGTCTACGAGCTCACTAGCCTTGTAACCAGAAGGTCGTGGGTTCGGACTCTGGCGATGGGTGCGTACTGATGAAGAGTCCCAAATCAGGACGAAACAGTTGTCCAGTAGTCCCAGGTCTTTCAATGGTTCTGCAACTAATATCAGCTCATCATGAAACCCTCCAACCAATGAAACCAAATCCCTACAAACGAAATACTTGAATTTACAATTCTGGTCAAATATTGACCACAGTTCATATGAATATTTTTTTTATTTTTTTTATTTTATGGTTACAGCTTGATTCCACACCGTATTTTTGTTACAAGTGTGGAATTTTCAGCGTGGATATCGGTAGCCCAAAATTCGCAGGCCAACCATAGATATCAGGTGTGCGTCGGCGAGGGCTCGAACCCGGGACCATATATGTAAATAGAGTTAACGAGACCATAAACACACCCTACTATGATGCATAGATTATATATTGTCAAATGTATGCGATACGTCAATTTTAATAATATTGTCACATTGGCATCCCTTTCTCTTCTTTGATCCTTTTGTAGGCAAAACGTTTTGAAGTATCCGTGGAAAGTCTGATGAAAGGTGATAATTCTGAAGAAGGAATGAAGGCGGGTTGTTCTGTGAATCAGATACTTCAAAGTACACTTCTTTCAGAGGTGAAATGTCCAATACGTGCACAGTGAGTGGAGAGAGAGGAGGAAAGAGGATAACACGATAATTTTTATTTTATGATGACGATTTAGTTAGAAGTCTTCTAAAGTGTGTGAGTGTGTGTGTACATTTCTTGTTCAAGTGTTGATTTGTAGGGATTTGATTGATTGGTTACAGGATTTCATCATGGTGATCTGACATTGGTTAGAAAACCATTACAAAAAAACAACCACAGGGAGTACTGGACAGCTGTTTCGTCAGCCTAGTTTGTGACTCTTCAGTAGTATACAGTCACCTCTAGGATTCGAACCCAGGACCTGGTTGCAAGGCGATCTCGTAAACCATTCGTCAGCCACTGGGATCCGATCCAACGGGTCAGTGCATAAATTTCAACTTTTGTCAATGCACGATATGGCGTGACCATTAGCCAATATGCCTGTCTGGCTGGTTTCAACATAGAATTTTGCAAAGATTTACAGCAGTTCAAGTCACCACACTCCTTGTAACACAAAGCAAGAGAAGAAAGTAGAAGAAATGCAAAATAGAAACAGTAAACAGAGATATGAGACAAAAAGAATAGTAATATTGAAAAACAATATAGTTTCATTGGGTATTATAAGTCACAAGGAGTGGATGCATCTGCGATTTGATGTGTGCGTACTGATGAAGAGCCCCAAACTAGGACGAAACAACTGTCCTTTAACCTCAGGTTTCGCAATGATTCTCTAACCAATATCAGCTCATAATGAAATCCTGTAACCAAATAGATGTTTGTGTTGTGTCTCTCATATTAAGTGAGTGGTATAACAGGGTGAGTAATATTGTGGTTAGAAGTAGAAATATTAGGTAAAGAGGTTACAGTCGATCGATAAGGCTTTAAAGCTATATCGGCATGTGTTGCGTATATCCAGCTACCACTTTCCTCACATCTACCAATGTTAGCTGACATAGGACGATTAAGTTGGCAAAGAGTTTAGGGATAACCGAACTGAAACCTGGCAGCCAGCCATGTAGGGAGGTGTAGGCTGCCAGAATGGCTGAGGGTCGTCAGGGTTCTTAGAGGTAGAAACGGTTGGAGACTATTAGTGACATCGGTTGACGAGTGAGATTTTGTTCCAGAGACCATAGCCCCAGTAGTTTATACGTAGAACATTTTACGCAGCGAATCTAACCTATGTGTGCCATTCTCTAGTCGACGAGTGATTGCGTCATACTCAAACGGGGGGGGATAAGTTAGATAGTTTTACCGTATCTATGTGTATGTATCAGCTCAACTGAACCTGCAGTCACCGCTATGCTGGAAGTACTACTAGACAGCTTACCCAATACGTGTTACTAAACATCTCTCATCATGGTTTGGTAAAGAACAGACAAAAATCATCTATAGCCGCTCCATTTTGTCATATTTATTATTACAAATAATAGCTGAGGCGATAGGTATTCGAACTAATATGCCTCAAATATGCATTCAAAAGAAGTTCATACACAACTAATTATCCCTCTCTTGGTCAATTAAGACCTAACCAATTGACGATGTTGCTGCCCCCTATCTCTCACTTTCTTATCATTCCGTGATTGAATTATCGCGGAAAATTCGCTTGTTTAATCACGCTGTTTTTCATTAGTCTTGTTATCGCAAATCGCCCCACTTTTTCATTTTGCTGTTAATAGAATCATTATTCATGTGTTGGTTTGTGCAGGTATTTGATTGGATTCAAGATTTCATCATAAACTGACATCAGTTAGAGGACCATTGGAAAACCAACAGGAAGTACTGGACAAATGTTTCGTCAACCTAGTTTGGGACTCTACACCTTACGTACTCATCACCAAAAGGATTGAAACCCAAGACCTAGTAAGAAGGCGATCTAGCCCGTAGACCATTAGGCCACTGAAACCCCGATCCAATGGGCCAGTTCACAATATGGCGCGACCACTAGCCAATGTGGCTGGCTAGCTAGTTTCAACATAGAATTTTGCACCGGTGTGCAGCAGTTCAAGTCGCCACACTCCGTGTATAGCACACAAAGCAAGAAAAGGAAGTTACAAAAAAAATGCAAAATCGAGACAGTAAACTGAGATATGAGACAAAAAGAATAGAATAGTTTTATTGAGTAGTGGATGCATCTGCGCCAGCCGTTGAAGATGATTTTTAGCCATATCACCACGAATTGTCTCCAGCCTTCATTAGTTTTTACCGTCCTGAGGACCCCAAACAGTCGGGAAGTCTACACCTTCCTACGTGACTGGCTGGCTTAAACTAACTGTTGTGGATTTCTTCATTGACTGATGAATCCATGTTTTGGTGTGACCCCACCAATAGCTTTATTTTCTTCCAACCTGATCCATCTTATGTCGGCTAACATTGCCCGTCTAAGAAGATGATGGTTATGCATGCGTAAAACATGTCCTAACCATCTCAATTGATGTAATTTCACTACCTTCCACCTAACCAGCAGTCGACGCCTAGCCTCAATATTGCTCACTCTACTTACTGTACCACTTCTTGGACGTTCTATGTCCCCACACAGACTTTTTCTTTTGGTGCAAAGATGTTCATTCTGCTGAAGGTTCTGTAGCAATTTTTTTTGTTTACAGGGTGGGGTTGCTAGCCTCACGCCTGAGAAAGGGATGATTACATTAAGTTAAAGTTTAAAGAGAAGCGACTTTTTGGGTTGCTCCCCTCAAAATCAGAAAATAACGGACAAACAATGAGAACAACAAAAGGAAACAGTTCACAGAAAAAAAAGGGCAAAAAGCGACAACAACTATACAATAAGACAACATGCAATATAGTTCAGCACAGTTAACTAAAATGATATCTCAACCATAAACTCACTGACTTGGAGCAACTTGAACATGTAAATCCAACAATATATACAATTATAGATGTGTTTATGTTCAAAAAAATTCCACAAATCCAAATAGTTAGTTATATGTATTATCTGTCAACTCCAATGTAAAGTCAGTGCTACTATACGGATCAGAGACTTGGCGAGTCATAAAGAGCATCTCAAACAAACTTCAGACCTTCATTAACAGCTGTCTTCGCTCAATACTCAAGATCAGATGGCCAGAAAAGATCAGCAACAGGGATCTCTGGGAGCGAACCAATCAGGAACCGATTGTGAAACAAATAGGCAGAAAGAGATGGAGATGGATTGGCCATACTCTGAGGAAACCATCAAGTGACATTACTAGACAAGCCATCACTCGAGTGGAACCCGAAAGGGAGGCGGCGAGTTGGTCGTCCAAGGGTGACTTGGAGGAGGTCATGCGAGGAGGAGATGAAAGCATGTGGACAGACCTGGAGCAGGGTGAAAAAGTTGTCAGAAAACCGAAGGCAGTGGAGGTGCTCAGCTGAAGCCCTATGTTCCTCTAGGAACTAAAGGATAGAATAATAATAATAATACTGTACCACTTCACACGGAAGATAGAAGGCAGGCATCTATGATCAAAGACAGCTAACCAGCCTTTTCAAATCTTCCACTTTCAATGGCCCGTCCACTCACTTCCAAAAGCACACTAGCCAATCTCATCGGTGGGGGAGTATTTTTCCTCATACCTGACCACTTGTGCCGTACTGGTCACTAACCCCTATGGTTGCGTGCTGGTGAGGAGTCCCACAACTAGAACGAAACATTTGTCCAGTACTCCCTGGTGGTTTTTCAATGGTTCTCTAACTGATGTCAGCTCATGATGTGAAATCCTCCATGCAATCAAACAAAGTTCCCTATAAAACCAATACATACAAAATAAATCTGATATAACCTAATTGTAAATACAATATTTTTCTAAATTATTATTATTTATAATTCTTGTTATTTTCTCTTCTCAAAACTTTCATAGAATGCTAGCAGAATTTATTGTTGAATTACACGCTGTATTTGATCGCCTGCATTTCACCTATTTGGAGATTAATCCATTAGTTATATGCAAATGGAATCCACTCAATAATGATGATGATGATAGCAGCTTATACCTTCATATATTGGATGTGGCGGCGAAATTAGATCAATGCGCTGAACACTTGTTCACATCAAGTATAGAATGGACAGTGAATGGAAAAATGCTGGAATTTCCATATGGTTTTGGTAAAAGTCAAAGTAAAGAGGTAGGATATTTTGCTTCTGATAATGAAGGGTTTTATTTTTGCATTTAGTAAATTAAATACTCCCCCGCAACCCCCCCCTCCCCCTAGGCACAATCCAGAGGTGTTTAATTCTGATGTGGTTGTGTTCTCTGAGCAGCTGGATAGTTGGTCATTTGCGAAGCTCTCATCGCCCTACTAGGCAACATCTTCAGCGCATATTTCAATTTCAATTTGAAGTGAGCTTTTAGATTTCTCCATGAGTTTATTAATCATCTCTCCTGGTCGGTGACCACGTTGGACGTGATTGGTTGTTTTTGTGTGCTTTCACACCTTCTAGGAGGCTACTTGTAGTATTGGAACTGATTGTTTCTTTGACTTGAACTTTGACCCTTTGTGTGTGTGAGGTTTCTTTCCTATCGGTTGATAAATTTTATCTATCTCGATATGTATATTGATTGACAATTCACTGGAATACCAGGCAGGCTTCTAAAAATTCTCTAGCATTCTTGATGCTTCCTCTGTCTAATATTTGAGCGTTGGTTGTCCCAGTCGAATTGATGTCCGTGGTTGTCTGTATGTAGTGAGGCGATATGAGGGGGTGGATATCATGTCTTTTGACGGCTACCTTATGTTCATGGATACGAAGACTAAGGAGACGTCCACTTTGACCAATGTAGTGTTTTTCGCAGTTGTTACAATTTATTTTGTAGATGATGTTGGTTTTATCTTCTTTCGCTGTTGGGTCTTTCGGTTGACATAGAGCCAGGTGAAAGAAAAGTGACTTCGTTGGTTTATGTACAACGTCAATTCCTAAAGGTTTGAAGAGTCTTGTAGTGATTTCTGAGATATCCTTTATATATGGTAAGGCCGTTTTCTTTGTGCTTTCCTTGGGGGCTTTTAGTTTGATAGGTTGGCTTGGGGGTATATGTCTCTTGATGAAATTCCGTGGATATCCATTCTTTTGGAAGACGTCCATGAGATATCTTTCTTCAGTTTTCCTTAAGGTGGGAGTGTTGCAATGACACCTGGTTGGCCCTCTTGAATAGTGTTTGTATGCAATTCCTTTTGTGTGTTATTGGATTGTTGCTGTTGTAATTCAGGATTTGGTCTGTGTGAATTGATTTTCTATAAAATTGAGTTTCTAATTCCTCTGTGGTTGTTCGCTTGGCTAAGACGTCAACAAATTGGATTTGGTTCTCGGATTCCTCTTCTCTTGTGAATTTGATGTCGTTGAAGACGTTGTTTGTTAAGTTAATAAATTAACTTAACAAAACTTTCATCAGCAACATATCATCAAAATCATCCACCCGAGCTACAAATATTCTCTATCATATCTAGAGGTGTTTAAGGAGTTTAAGATGGACACAGTTTACAGCGTATACGTTAATTAAGGTATTAGGCAACATGTCTGAGAATCAGAGACAGTTTGGTCGGCCCTGTGTATTATTATTATTGTTTCCTTTAATTCCTAGAGGAACATAGGAGGGCTTCAGCTGCGCATCTCTATTGCCTTCTGTTTTCTGCCAACTTTTTCACCTCGCTCCACGTTTGCCCACATGCTTTCATCTCCTCCTTACATGACCTCCTTCAAGTCCCCCCACTCTTGCACTGACGACCAACTGACTTGCCGCTTCCCTTTCGGGTTCCACTCGAGTGATGGCTTGTCTAGTGATGTCACTTGATGGTTTCTTCAGAGTCTAACCAGCAAATCGATCTCCATTTCTTCCTGCTTATTTGTTACACAGTCGGTTCCTGCCGAGTTGGTTCGCTCATTGCGTTCGGTTCTCTACTAACGTTTTCACCTGGATGCAAGTCTGCCAACATGCTTTCATCTCCCCTTCACATGACCTCCTCCATGTCACCCTTTCACTGACGACCAACTCGCCGCCCGCTTCCCGTTTGGGTTCCACTCGAGCAATGGCTTGTCTAGTGGTGTCACTTGCTGGTTTCCTCAGAGTATGGTCAATCCCCAACCATTTCTTTCTGCTTATTTGCTGCACAATCGGTTCCTGGCTGGTTCGCTCATTGCCAGAGATCCCTTCCTGTTGCTGATCTTTTCTGGCCAACTGATCTTGAGTAGTATTGAGCGAAGACAGCAGTTGTTGATGAAGGTCTCTGATCCATATGGCAAGTAGCACTGATTTCAAATTGGAGTTGAAAATCCGGATCTTGTTTTTCATGCTGAGTGTTGAGTGTTGACCTCCACACAGACTTGAGAGTAATGAAAGCTTGCCTTGCTTTCCCAATACTTGCTGCTTTGATATCTTCGTCAGTTCCGCCCGTAGTTGAAACGATGCTTCCCAGGTAGGTAGGTAAAGGAGGTTGTTTCTTTCAGTCGGCCCTGTTTAAGTCATTGATTATCCCGATATACAAGATAATCATAAGAGGATCAGCCTGATTATTATGATATCTGAAGTTCTTACACTCAATAGTCATGTGTAGATCAAGTAGTGCTCGTGTGAAACAAACATGGGATTCCACTCTGATGACCGAGACCTACCATGGCAATGTTTGGTTGTGAAGGCATCACCAAGAAAGTACATCGAAGGTACTCCCTTCCTTATTCTCTGTGTCTATTCTGGCCTATTACAACGTCAGCAGAAGCCTTTGCTGTGCTATTTCTTCATATGTATTTTGTGGTAATCAATTTCCTCGTACACCAGTGAATATAATACATCCCATCCCCTCCCCCACCCCACCCCAATGAAACTTCTATTCTGTTGACGGTAAATAAATGAGTATGTGTGAATAAGCCATTAAGAAGACAAATTTCGCGAGATGATATCGTCATTTTGTATTTTCTCGACAATCGTTTTACAACTAACATGGTTAACAATAATAATAAAATAAAAGGCTTGACAATTACTCAGTTATATAAAACAAAAGTACACACTAATGACCAATCATATTTAAATAAGTCAAGTAGTCAGTTCATGGTAGGCGAAGATTGAAGTCTATTGTTTTATTTCTGGTCTTATAGTTAAGGATGTATGCAATTAATTCCCGAAGTACTTCCATCACCTTTATTAAACAACCTTGAATTCAAGTTATGCGATGAAATAATTGTGAAACAGTCATTAATTAATATTGATTTTGTGACCTGAAATTAATAAATGTTTTGCAATGGATGATGATACTGGACTTCTATTCAGATTAATAACTACATTGGGATTTTCTATTTGTCTTAATAACCACGACCACATTGGAACGTTCTGTTGGTTCTACCTATGTAGGTGTCACCGAAACTACAGGTGAACTTGTAGATACAGTTTGAAGTAGTGTACGCAAAATTTCGTCCTTTAATCGTAGATATAGGGATCGAAGTATTGGTTTTGTAATGAATTTGTTTGATTGAATGTAGGATTTCATCATGTGCTGACATCACTTAGAGAACTACTGGAAAGCCTGGGTTGTACTGGGCAGCTGTTTCGTCCAAGTCTGGGACTCTTTAGCAGTACGCTCCAACCGGGTTTCGATCCCAGGGCCTTGTGGTTACAAGGCTAGTGAACTCATCGAGCCTTGAGCCACTGGGACCCGATCCAATGGCCAAGCTGCCCATGAGTTCTAATTTCTGCCAATTCACGACATAGCGCGACTACTTCGCAATGTCTTCTTCGATGAATTACTGCCTCACCTTCAACCTGCTGCAGCCTACTGGTCACGGATTCCCACTAGAAACCCAGGTCACTGTGTGAATAGGGTCTCTATAGCTTCCACCATAGCTGATAGACGTAGTCGTACACCTTAAGGTAGATTGTCTGGTACTCGATATGCAACCGTAAATGAATGATTTTTTAAGAAGTTAAATTCAGTGAGGGAATTGAATCCATGGATGTGAATGCATAAAATAATAATAATAATAATAATAGTAGTATGAAATGAAATTAAAATATATGTGATTTTAATCACAGTTAAATGCCAAGTAGCAAAGCAAATTAATGTCATATATATAGAATAATTCATAAGATGTATGGAACTTGGAAGGGTTATGCAATTATAGGATTAGTAGACAAATCGAATAAAACAAAAACGGTACGTAATAATGTGTGAAATTTGATAGCATAGAATTTAACGTTGTAAAAAAGAGAATTGATTTAGAATGACAAGTGGAACCAGTAAAATAATACCAGGGACAGTTCAACGTGAGAATAGTAATAGTAGTAACAATCCACGTTATAAAGGAAGAGTATCGAAATTGAATAGACGAAACGAAAAAATTGGTAGAGCCCGAATATGGTTAGGGACTACCATAATTTAGCATAGAAGGATTAAGACCATGAAAGTTGGAGGGGTTGAACGAACTTTTTCTGTACACAGAGATCTGGCCTTTCTGTTTCGATAGCCAAAGATGGCTTCAGCAATACAGACGAGTCGGGTACATGGGGATTTGGGTAAGTTACTTTTTGCCTCGTGGATGACTTTAAAGGTGGAGGCTATAGAGATAGAGTGATCACCATCGACGAGATGACCAATGATCGCGCTTCTTATTGTTCTACTCCCACCTCTTCGTAACCATGTAGGATAGTGTTCTTGCACCCTCTTGGACAAAGCCTGAATCGAACGACCGATATACCTATCTCCACACCAACAGGGGAATTGATAAACGCACATGGAGTTAGTCGACTGCGGGATCTTGTCCTTCAAGTCGATTGGTAAAGGCTATTCTCAAAGATGCAGCAGGGAATGTTTTTTTTTCAGGGACTGTGATATCCTTCTTTTCATGATATCGGAAGCTAAGTTTATTTGTCCTTTCGTTTAATTGATATTTGTTTACTCTTACTTTGTTCATTGTTTTTTGATTATTATGTAATCAGGAAGCTTATATAGCCAAGTTGGATGCACGTACTGGAGCCTCATTGAAATTATCAATTCTTAATCCAGATGGTCGTATATGGACAATGAGTGCTGGTGGTGGTGCTTCAGTCATCTATGCTGACACAGTGTGCGAATTAGCTGAAAGAGTTAAAGCAGCTGGCGGTGTAAGTCAAGGTGCTAAAGATTTAGCCAATTACGGGGAATATTCTGGTGCACCATCGGAAGAGCTGACATATGAATATTCAAAAACTTTGTTATGTCTAATGACAAATGGAGATCCACATCCAGATGGTAAGATTCACGGATTATTGATGGTGTATCTTCACTATTTCCTCTCCTTCTTCCCCAGTATTTAATGCTTTTTATGTTCACCTCCGCCAACGACAAGGAGAAGGTGATAAAGATAACTATTGTTATTATTATTGTTCCTTTGGGTTCCTAGTGGAACATAGGGCTTCAGCTGCATGTCTCCACTTGCCACTTCTGTCTTCCTTCTGCTGTACTTTTCACCTGCATCCATCCATGTTAGTTAGTCCATACTGTTTCAACTCCTCTTCACACGATCTCCTCCATGTCACCCTTACTTACACCGATTTCCCACTCACCGCTTCCCTTACGGTCGGGTTCCATTCGAGTGATGGCCTGACGCGCGCGCAGTTTCACCAACTGGCCTCCTCAGAGAATGTGTGTCCAATCCATCTTTTTTCACTTTCTCCTGCATATTTGTTGGTTGGCGATTGATTGATTCTTGTTTTGTTTGTTTGTTCCCACCCATAGTTTCTTGTTGTTGGTGATTCTTTCCGGCCCAGCCATCTGATCTTCAGTATAAAGAGAGTGAAGACAGTGTTGTTGATAAAGGTTCACTTGGAGTCCTGTCTTCGTTGGCTACTTCTTCAGTCAATCTGTTGATTTTCGCCTGCAAGTCTTCCATTTTGTGTGTAACATTAGACGTATATCATCTGCGGAATCCAGATCTTCTAGAATCTTCTAACCGGTCGTCCAGCATACTCCTATCTCCTTTCTGCCTGTGCACAGTCTGACGCATAATCCAGTCCACCACAATTAAGAATGATATAAGTGGGCAACCGTGTCTTATTCCTGTCTTCATTTCAAAGACTTCGCTGAGTTTTCTGTTGTGGATTGCCTGACACGTAGCATTATCTATTATATAGCTGTTGAATGAGGTTGATAAAAACTTGAGCACTGCACAGCGTCGATGGTACAGTGGTTAGGACATTCGCCTACCAGGCACATGGTCCGGGGTTCGATCCCCGGCCACAGACACACTCTTTTACCTCGCTAAACCAGAAATAATGCTGGTAAAGAGGAGGGTAGGTTGGGCATGAGGCTAGCAACCCCATCCTGCTACAGAAGCTTCAAGCCACTAGCTTGAAGCCCTATATTTCACTGGGAACTTGAAGGAAAAAAAAACTGCACGCCATAATGTGTTGAAATAGTTTCCAAATTCCTTCTCGGGGAACGCTGTCTATCGAAGACCTTTTCAAAGTGGGTGAGCTTCAGTTTGAGGTTTGACTGCTATTCTATGCTTTGCTCTGTGATGATGATGATGATGACGACGATGCGCAGAGTTGCAGAGAGAGTTGACCAGTATATGATTTACTTCTCCTGAATCCAGCTTGTTCCCGGTGGAGCTGGCGGAGTTCTGCATCCAGTTGGATCTTTATATTCCCTACAGAATAACACGACTTTGTATTTTTTTTCTTGGTGTTAACGAAAGCATAACTCACATATACTTATGGAATCTTGTGAGTATCACTGACCGACTGCATATCAACAAGGATGGATGACATAATGAATTCACATCCCGTTTAACTAGTTTCAAAGAGAAAAAAAAAGTAGTATGCATATAACGGCATTGACTGATAGGGTAGTAACGGAACGGAACAAGGAAAATAACGAAGATGAGTTGAAGAGAAGGTTTAAAAAGTCAAATATAATCTATGATTTTAGAATAAATTTTCAAGGTCGTTTTCGTACAAACGAACAAGTTGTTGAGATGAAATATTGATTTGTTAACTTTAAATTATATATGCATATGATTGGTTGATAGCTTCTTCTTCATTCATACATACATGCTCACGTGATTATGGATCTTTTCTTCCCTTGTCAGTTTTGTTTCCTCACTGCCGCCGCTCCCCTCCCTTCCTTCCTTCCTTCTTTCTGTCTGTCTGTCTGTCTCACTGACGGAAAGGAAAAAAAACGCCAGAAAATGAAATGCTCTTCTGCATAGCATGATTCGATTTAAGATAGTTAAGATGAGGGGTTTGTTTTCCTCATCCTCTCTCTGTCTCTGTCTCTCTCTCTCTCTCTCCTGAAAAGTAGGGAGGGAGGAGTTAGTTTTAATGTTGGGATTATTGCGTAATGCATAATGCATTTTCCTTTAATCAAAATAAAATTTATGACTTATCGTGAATCTTCCTGTCAGGTTGTGACTTTTTATAAGCGAAACTAAGGAAATTGGAAGATTGGTTAAACTGGCCCTATTCAGGCAGTTAACCTGGGTTTCTAGTGGGAAGCTGTGACCAGTAGGGTACAGCAGGTTGAAGACGGGGCAGTAACTCATCGAAGAAGACATTGCGAAGTGGTCACGCTATGTCGTGAATTGGCAGAAGTTAGAATTCAAGGACCATTGGATCGGGTCCCAGTGCCTCAATGGTCTACAAGCTCACTAGCCTTGTAACCAGAAGGTCCTGGGTTCGAATCCCGGTGGGTGCGTACTGCTGAAGAGTCCCAAACTAGGTCGAAACAGCTGTCCAGTACTCCCAGCTGGTTTTCCAGTTGTTCTCTAACTGATGTCAGCTCATGATTAAATCCTCCATGCAATCAAAAATAATAAACGCAATATAATAGGATGCGATGTTGAAGATTGATGTGAGCGAACGCTATTCATTGCCTCCAAAGCCTCAGGATGGTCGGGGGTGGGTGTCTTGCGCTGCGGGTTGGCCACCCCTCCGTACACCTATTGAAATGCTCCCATATGACCGGGCGTCTTACATAGCCTCTCCTGAGGAAGTCCTACTCACTGCCTTCACGTGGCGGAGGTGTTTTTCACCAAAGTGAGAGGGCATAAGCGGATGCCCAGCGCTCTTCACCGGGTTGACTGTCCATTGGATGACAGTCTAGGGGAGATGGCTAAACCCTGATTCCAAACCTCCAACGACTGGCGTATGAAGCTCACTGGAGCTCACCGGCAGACGTATGGACAAAGGGCTTATTGGATGCCTTGGATGTCTGGCCCCATTCAAAAAGGCGTATGAACCGGATTCCGGTCACCGGCTTCCAATGGATAGTGGACTCGCTACTCCACTCCTACTGCCTTGTAGGTCACACTTGGTTGTGTAAAGGCTATAGCTGCACTCTCAAACAAAGGCCGAGCGATGCTGGGGACATCACTCGTACCAAATTCCCATGAAACTTCATGGTTCATGAAGCCGGCTCATCCTCCCGTAGGAGATAGCCGAAGTAAAGTAAGTAAGTAAGCTATTCATTGGTGGTTGTACACGTATAGATAAAATTTTTCTGCTGTATACTACTGACTGATTGAAATGATGAGTAGTGAGATATCCGAATTGTCGAACTTCAAAGAAACGCGTACAGCAGTTTTAAGAAAAAAAGGAAGAAGAGACAAGATAAGGAATAGCTCTCAGCGGACACACCTGAAAGCCAATAGAAGAAAGAGAGGAGGATGGTGAAACACAAGATGACTCAATGCGAAGATGGACAATAGAAAGGGAAGCTGAGTTCAGCATACATCTCACTGGATAAAGCAGTGTAGAAGAAGAAGAGTTCTAGGAAAAAAACAGAAGACAATTCCACGATACACTGAAAACTGAAGCAGAACACGAAGGCCCCTGGTAAGAGAGAGACTTCAGAACATTATGTCAGATAACCAGGTGTCTATCCGGGAAAAGATCAACGCAGATGAAACCCATAAAAGATGTGTTCAAAGGAATCTACTTATCCAAGAGGAAAAACAAAGAAAACAATGGGCTGATCACTTCAAAAGACTTTTCAATCAACTGTCACCTACAAATCGTCCAGGAATACCACCAATGGCACTCACAGAACTGCGAGTTGACACCAGTCCTCCAAAAAATTTGAATTCTTGGATGAACTTAAGGTACTAAATGTTTGAAAGGAAGAAAAGGTACCTATTGATTGAAAGAAAGGTTACTTTGCCAAACTATCAAAGAAGGGTGGCGTAGGCCTGTGAAAGAACTGGCGCGGAATAAATGCTGTTGTCCACGTCTAGTAAAATACTAAGTTGCGTTATCCTAGAGAGAGACTTAATGATGCACTAGACGCAGAACTGTGCTAGCCTGGAACAAGCTGTATTCAGAAACGGAAAATCATATCCCCGCATCAAGTTGCAACTGTACACTTCATTGTCGAACAGAGCATAGAATAGCAGTCAAGTCTTTCTCCTAGTTTCATGAACTTTGAGAAGACCTTCGACAGTGTTGCCTGTGAGTTAATTTGGAAACTTCTCCAACACCATGAATGGTGTTTCCGCAAATCTTTATCACTCATATTCAACAGCTGTATGACAATGGTGCGTGTCACAGATGGTATTCTTAATTGTGGTGGACTGGATTAAACCCTATGCTATTAGGTATAAGGAATCAGGAATACATTGTGTTGACTGACAAGACGACTGTAGAAGGTCTGAACGGCAAAGTTAAACTTTAAGCACCACTAACTACCAATCAGCGAACGACTTTCAACTGACCAGTCACATGAAAGAGGAACTTTTGATAAGGGAAAAAGTATATTCATGGAAATAAAGCATAACTGCATAAAACTGTTATATAGGGTATCTTTCTCTCACATGTGATAGGAACATCTCCCAGTTTAGCCTAGGAGTGTCAATAGAAAAGTCACACCACATATTCTGTACATATATTCATCCTTTTGAGATCCATTCATAGCCTTAATCCTATTTTTCAATCTTCACCGAAAGCCTTCTAAAGAATTTGTGTGTGTGTGTGTGTATGTGTCTGTTTTCGACACAGAACTTTGCACAAATGTGCGGAAGTTCAAGTCGCCACACTCCGTGTAGCACGCGAAGCAAGAGAAGAAAGTACAAGAAAAGCATAATAGAGACAGTGAGCAGAGGTGTGAGACAAAGGAGGAGTAATAACGAAGAGAAAAACAGTTTCATTGAAGATCATAAGTCACAGGGAGTGGATGCATCTGCGCCACTGAGAACGATTTTGAGCCATGTCACCAATTGTTTCCAACCATAGATTTTTACCGTCCCGAGGATCCCAACCAGTCAGGAAGTCTACACCTTCCTACGTGGCTTAGACCAACTGTTGTGGATTTCATTGACTAGTGCCAAGTTTTTGTTTGACCGCCGCTAGCTTTCTTCCAGCCTGACCCTATATCCGCTAACATAGCTCGTCGAGGGAGGCGATGACTTGGCATACGTAACACATGTCCTAACCATCTCAGTCTTTGTAACTTCACGACTTCGTCGATTGATTTCCCCTGTTTACCTAGAACTCGACCGAAGCCTAACCTCAATGTTGCTCACCTTATTATGCCACTTTACACGGGAAATAGAGCGCAGGCACCTATGATCAAAGACAGCTAGTCTTTTCATGTCTTCCACTCTCAGTGGCCAGGTCTCACAGCCAGCCATAAAGGAGGACGGAGCGGACTGATGAGCAGTACACCCGCCCTTTGGTCGATAGTCGAACATCTCGTCTACGCCAGAGTCGGCGTAAACTGGCAAATGCGAAACGAGTGTTCCTGTCTCTTCTGTAATGGGATTCACAAAATCACTGGAATAGTTCACTCTGTGATGAATACATCCAAGAGATGACAGCGTGTGATATCCTTTCCATTCATCAGTATGTATTTAATGTGTGCAAATACGATTTGCAGATATGTGGTTTAACTTTCTAAGAAACGGTCACAAAGAGATGACAGAATAACCTTGAGCAAGAAAACAACCAATCAGAAGAGGTTGCCTCTCTGCTAACAATAACGCTAATAATAATGTGCATAAAAATCTATAAATATCTATTGATTTTCTCAAATAAACGATCTCTTTCCTGGCCCTTATCTTCTGTCGTTATATTCTATCGGATTGTCGATATGGCGGGTTGTCTTTACCACAGAATTGCTCAATGGCTAGGTGGAATATTGGAAGAAGTTAGAAAACAAGTGTATATAAGTTTTCCATTGCTGATGATAATATTTCTTTATCTCTCATATATTTTTATTTTATTATTATTATTATTAATTTATTTTCTGATTAATCTAATTATTTAGGCAAAGTTTTGTTAATCGGTGGAGGGATTGCAAATTTTACAAATGTTGCTGCCACTTTCAAAGGTATTGTACGTGCATTGACAGAATTCAAGGAGAAACTTCAAGCACATAAGATACGTATATTTGTACGTCGTGCTGGTCCAAATTATCAAGAAGGTCTTCGAGTTATGCGTGAATTAGGTAGGTGATGATGTTATTGGTGTGTGTGTGTGACGGTGGAGGGGGGGGGTTAATTTTTTGTATTTATTGTTTTTATAAGTTTGGTTATTTTACATATCTTTACGACTACTACTAATGAACTTCTTGAGTGCCTGACGTAGTTATCTAAAATATGATAACCGGAAACAAAAGATACTGGAGTCAAATAACCCTGAACCGACCAATCAGATCGCGACTCAGCAATACAAATCGATGCTTTTGATAATCTTCGTTGCAAGCTTCACCTTAGCCCCTTAATTCTATCCTAACCTTAACCGTGAATTAGGATGAGACTTACAGCGACGATCATGATATAAGCATCGATTAGTAATGCTGGGCAGGGGTCTGATTGGTTGGTCCAAGGTCGCTTGACCTTGGCGCTCATGTGACTTGTTTGGTAATAAACATGTCTTCAGTTGCTCACAGTTGTTCTTCCCTCTGAATGACTGATGATGGTGATGATAATGGGAAGCTGTAGGATGCTACTTAGAGCTGTTCATTTGGTCATTTGATCTGTCCTACGTCAGTTGCATGCGTAACACATGTCCTAACCATCTCTCTCAACCGATGTGATCTCACAACTTCGTCGATTAATTTGCCCTCCTTATCTAGCACTCGACGCCTAATCTCAATATTACTTACCCTATTATGCCGCCAACTAACGCACACAGAAGATAGAATGCAGACACCTATGGTTGGAAACAGGTAGTCTTCTCGTATCTTTTACTCTAAGTGATCATGTCTCACAGTCATAAATGAGGATGGAGAGAACTGCTGAACAGTACACACGTCCTTTAGGTGACAACAAGCAGGATATCATGTCTACTGAGCCCAGAGATGGCGTATATTGGAATATGCCAAACGAGCATTCTGTATGCTTTCTGAGATTGTGTCAAGTATCAGTTCGATGAGGCTGATGCAACTTCCCAAATAAGTGAAGTGGTCAACACACTCTTCTACCTCATCCTCTATCCTTAAGTTAGGAGTCGATCTATTCTAATCCTGTAGCATCATCGTAAATTTGACGGGAGGTTTTCGATTCAATACTTGTCTCGTGTGGGGTCATGCATTTACTCTGCTAATTAGTCCCAAACCTGGACAAAACAGCTGACTCCCTGATTATTAGTGGTTCTCTAACACTGTCAAGTCAATTCGTGATAAGCTCAATTGAGTGGAATCAATTTCCCTACAAACCAACGACTGGAAATCAACTCAGGCGTGTACTGTATATGTGTTTGTTTTATGCAGATTTTGAACTAATTTCAGTATGAGCTGGCTAGGTTGAGTGTGTGTCTAGACAGAATTGTTTCAACCACAGGCAGACAGTTGGAACAGATGAAGGCGTCAAACACAGTCAGAATCATAGGAAAGACATGGTTCGCCTTCAGTAATATGAAATCACTTTTGGGAAAATCTTCGGCTTCACTCACTCACTCACTCACTCACTCACTCACTCACTCACTCACTCAGCATAAACAACAAAATTCGGATTTTCAACACCAATGTGAAGTCAGTCAGTTCTCTGTCTGTCAGAAACATGGTGCTCGTGTCACGAAAAGCATTTCTAACAGGTTACTGTAGACTTTTATCAACGTCTGCCCACTTCACTGGCTGGCTGGCTGGCGAGAGAGAGAGAGAGAGAGAATTATCAACAAGAAACTGTCGGGACGAATCATTCAAGGACTGATTTGCTCAAAAAATATGCTGAAGAAATCGGAGATGGATTAGGTATACGCTGAGGAGACAGTCGAACGACGTCATGGCATTACCAGACCGTCGCTTGAGTGGAATCCTAATGGGAAACAATGAGTGAGTCGTCGGAGAGGTTGAAATGGAGGAAATGACAGACTATGGATATTCTTGGAACCAGTCAGCTAAAGCGAACCTCGGAGAATTGGACAAAGTGGAGATGTGGTGCTGTTAAAGCCCTATGTTCCACTCGGAACCTGCGGGAACAATAATAAATAGCAATATGAGATGATATTTAAAAAAAAAACCAGAAAACGATTTTAAATCTTCATTTTGCTTTAACAATTGTTGACTTATTTTCGTTTTGATTATTCACATAGGTCATACAATTAATGTACCAATTTATGTATTCGGTCCTGAAACACATATGACGGCTATTGTATCAATGGCATTTGGTCTACGTGAAATACCTTCACCAAAACCAGGTTCTTCGCATACAACCACATCGGTTAGCTTATCGTTGTGTAATCTTAATACATCTAGTCATCATGACTACAACAAGGTGAGTATTAGTCATAGTCGTAGTAGTAGTAGAACATAAAATGTATACAATCAATTAATTTCTGTATTTTGATTAATGCTTAGGTTGATGACTTGTGGACCTCAGCGTGGAGACGTAACTCAACTCTGTGGTTTTAACACATTCGACTTTCAGGTAGCCACCGATTTCAGTTTGAGCAACTGTGTGTAGTATCGTAAATTCTCACATAAAGCCAATTTGTTCGTGAGTGTCAGTACTGCCTGACTAACTGACTTTCGACACAAAGATTTGCACAGAAATGCAACAGTTTGAAGTGCCACACTCACGAAACCACACAAATCTCGAACACCTCAACAACTCTGACAGTGTACACTTCTGCCTGCGTGGTTCAGACCTGTACCATTGTAATAACAGGCGACAAGGGTCAGGAAACAGATCGTTTATTTAGAAAATCAACACATATTTATAGATTTTCATGTACGTTATTATAGATTATTGTAAGCAAGCAAACACAGTCTTCTAATTGGTGATTTCTCGTTGAACGCTAATCTTTCATCTCTTTGTGGCCGTTTATTGAAGTTCAGATTATCTATCTGCAAATTGTATCCGCCTACGCAAATAAGGTGTGCTGTGATTGGTTGTTGAATCAGTCTTTGTTCGTATTTTTCTCACAACCAACATTACTGACGTAAAATTGACGTAAACTTACTGTCTACCAAATTTTGGCTAGCAGTCAGCTCTCACCACACCATCATCTTATATTTGATTGGAGCAAATTGTATACCAAACATTTTATCAGCGTCTTTGCTTAGGAGGAATATATCATCAGCATATTATAAGTTGACAAGACTGTTCTCTTATGGTAACAGATCAATCCCTGAGTCACTGAAGTTGGTTAGGGTTAATTCCATTAGTACATCAGTGATGAAGTTAAACAGAAATGGTGGGGGGGTGCAGTGGGAAACCATTGATGGACACTACTGGCTTTCATCACTTCGAGTGGCAGTCCTCCGTAACCTCTTGCATGGATGCGTCAGTTCGAATAGAGCGCCTTCGACGTACTTTCTCGGTACTTCCTTCATAAGACAATTAAGATCCCATGGCTTGTGGCTTTCGCAGAAGGAGACATCAAGAGCTTCTTGCAGGGCTTTAATACCGTCACTGAGTCAAAGATATGATGGCAAAGGCTGAGTGACAAGGCAGATATTGAGCACTACGGTAACCACAATAGAGTCACTAAAATCGGATGTGAGTGGGAAGAGAAAGTTGAAGATTTTCAGCGTGAAGTAGCGATGCTATATAAGAATGACAAATGCGTTGAGTATGGCAAATCAGGGCACTGAAGGTTAAAACTGTCCTGATTTTTTGTTGATTTTCTGAAGGTTAAACCTTTGGATTATCTTCTGACCAAAGCGTAAGCTAGATCCAGATTTGGTTGGAGGATTTCATCATGAGCTGACATCAGTTGGAGAACCATTGAAAAACGTGCGAGGGGTACTGGACACCCAGCTGTTTCGCTCTAGTTTGGGACTCTTCAGCGGTATGCACCCACCACAAGGGTTCGAAGTCAGGATCTTCTGGTTACAAGGGAGTTAGCTCGTAGACCATTCCTCAGCCATTGGGACCCGATCCCATGGCCAGCCCAGGAATTGTAACTTCTGCCAATTAATGACATAGGTCGACCACTTCACAATGTCTTCTTCAATGAGTGGTCTACAAGTTCGCACTGTAACCAGAAGGTCCTGGGTTCTAATCCTGGCGGTGGATGCATACTGTAAAGAGTCCCACACTAGGACGAAACAGCTAACTGTCTAGTACTTCAATGGTTGTCTAACTGATCTCAGTACATTATGAGATCCTTCAACCAGTCAATCAAACAACATCTCTACAAAACCAACACCTGGAGATCCAGATGCTTCTGCTGCCACTGACTTAAAATGTTGTTTTCAATTTTGGCTATTTTCTTTCAGTTTGTGTCTTTATATACTACTGATGACTGTTGTCAGCAGCATACACCACAGTAGTAGTATACGATTGATTTATTAATTTACCATAGTAATAGTAGAAGAAGTAGTAGTAGTATTGATTTTCTTTTTACCCTTGTTTTAGAATAAAGACAAATCGTCTGTGATGATTAATCAGAATCATAAAATTTCTGAATTTGACAATCAACAAATGTTGAATCTTCATATGACACACGAGACACTATTCACTAAAGAGACAAAATGTTTAGTATGGGGGTTACAAGTGAAAGCTGTTCAGTCAATGCTAGACTTTGATTATGCTTCAGAACGTGATAGCCCAAGTGTTGCGGCTTTAATTTATCCTTTCAAGTAAGAGATTTGGTCTGTTTGCTTTTTATTTGTTGTGGTCTTTTTTGAAAAAGAGAACTATCTGTTTATGTGTGCCATCTTGGATTTTGCTTCCGTGGTTCAGCGGTAGACAGCTCATCAGCCAGGAATACTCCTTCATATGAATTATCAAAAGACTTAGCTCTAATATTATGCCCCGTTAGGAATCGTTCAAACTCTAGGCCAGCTGACTAATTCATATGAGATGAATTGAAAGAAGTTAGAATTCATGGGCCATTGGATTGGGTCCCAGTGGCTTAATGATCTACGAGCTCGCTAGCCTTGTAACCAGAAGGTCCTGGGTTCGAAACCCGGTGAGTGTTTACTGATGAAGAGTCCGAAACTAGAAAGAAACAGCTGTCCAGTACTTCCTGACAGGTTTTCTAACTAATGTCAGCTCATGACGAAATCCTGTAATCAATCAACTAAATCCCTACAAACCAATACTTGAATGTCAATGACATTCAACTAGAGAATGATGAAACAATGGTTAGTTTTGATATAACTAGTCTTTATACTAATATACCAGTCAATATGGCGGCCATAGAAGCAGTTAAAAAAGAACTAACTGCTGATCCTGAACTCAATCATAGGGCACACCTGCCCATTGAAGAAATTATTTTAGGGATTCAGTTATGCTGTCTCACGTCTACTATCTATAAATTCCAAGGTAAAATATATTGACAAACAGAAGGTGTAGCAATGGGATGGATCACCAATATCCCCTACCGTAGCAAACATATTTATGGAAAGCTGGGAAAATAGTGCTCTTAATACGACACATTTAATCCTACTCCAAAAATATGGTGGAGATATGTGGATGACACTTCCACTCACAGTGTTAAAAACTGAACATATCTCTCTCTAGCTTCTTGACACACATAAACTCACTAGTGGAGGGAATAAAATTCACATTTGAATCGGAGAATGAACAGGGAGAATTAACTATGTTAGATTGTAAAATAAAACGAATAGAAGAAGGTAAACTGCGCACACTAGTGTATACAGAAAACCAACTCATTCGAATAGATATTTAAACGTTAATTCGTCTCATTCGTTATCTGTCTGTGAAGGCAGGCCTAGTTAAGCGTCTGTCTAACAAATTGATCGCTAGCATAAGTAGTACAAAAAAAGACCTAAATAATGAAATAAAACAGATAGAAGAGGCGTTGGTGTTAACTAACTAACTAACTAACTATCCTATAAAATTCATTAGGAAGATCAGCAAAGGTCAAAAACAAAATAAAAATAATTGTGAAACTAGTAAATAAGAGAGAATATAAGGCATCTACAGCTATACCATATAAAGAGGGGACATCTGAGGCCCTACGTAGGATTCTAAATAAAGGAGGAATTAGAGTGCCATTGAAACCTACAGTCTCACTCAGGAACAAGCTATATAGGTTAGAGGACCCGGTTGACCCCCAGAAGATAATTAATTTAGAAAAAAGCTCAGCACCTCATCGCACTACATGCATTGACACACAACCATACAATGGGGTGGGAGAGATTTAAAATTCTTTAAAGTAATATAGGTAGATGGAGAGCATGAGAGGTTGATTACTGGATCCTGATTCATCGAATCTACACCCAACACATGCGATAGGGATGACTTATCACTCATACAGGAAATATGGAAAATACTACTACCATTCAAATCAAGCGATGAAAAATGATGGAATTATATAAACGAAGTTCGAAAGTTGTGTAAGTAGTGCCTTGATATGATTATGTGCTGCAGTAATAAATTGTGCTCGAAACCTGGTCATCAGCAAATATTACTGTATAACACTGGGAGACTTTATCAGAATAAATTTCACCCATAATTGAAGCTCGTTAGTCACCTCGTCGTGTGGTCCTGGACGCGATTCCTCATTTGATGCACTCTTTACCGTCGCTAAGCTGGTCGTAAAGAAGGAAGGTTGGTTGAGATGAGGCTAACAAGTGCACCGTGGTAAAATGAAACCATTGCTACAGAAACTTTAAGTCTTTAGCTCTTGATTGACCTCCTGTAGGACTGTGTTGGAGACTTTGGACACTAGTATAATCCTTTGTTTGTTCAAAATTCAATTTTTTCAGTAGTCAAGTTTTAAACATGGCCACAAACAGGCTAGGTGACTCTCCATCACGGTGCGGTGTGTGAGACAGGTGTTTGACTCTCAGACACGGAACATGAGAGATGATTAGGACATGTATTACGTATGCCAAGCCATCGCCTCCCTCGACGAGCAATGTTAGCGGATATAGGGTCAGGCTGGAAAAAAGCTAGCGGCGGTCAAACAAAAACTTGGCACCAGTCAATGAAATCCGCAACAGTTGGTCTAAGCCATGTAGGAAGGTGTAGACTCCCAGGCTGGGGTCCTCGGGACGGTAAAAACCAATGGTTGGAAACAATTGGTGACATGGCTCAAAATCGTTCTCAGTGGCTGATGCAGATGCATCCACTCCTTGTGACTTATGATCTCCAATGAAACTGTTTTGTTTTTCTTTATTACTCCTTTGTCTCACATCCTGCTCACTGTTTCTATTATGCTTTTCTTGCACTTTTTTCTCTTGCTTCGCGTGCTACTTGGAGTGTGGCGTTTTGAACTTCCGCACATGTGGTGCAAAGTTCTATGTCGAAAAGACAGACAGCAGACAGACATGAGTTCTTTCCAGGCTGAAAATATGCCTTTCTGTATGTGACTAGTCAATCCCAACAAGGACGAAACTTCTGTCGTAGACTTCCTTCCGATTATCTTCAACCGTCTAGTAACAACGATTCACAGTGCATCGTTGCCACCTGGCATGGAAGGTGTTGGGTTCGAACACATGTGGTGACTGTTTACCCCTATGAAGAGTAACAAACTAAGCTGACAAAACAGCTGTCTAGTTACTTCCAGATGGTTTCCCAATAGTTCTCTAACTGTTGTTAAATTGTGACGATGATTAATGTCTGTATACCACCTGTATTAAGTTGAATAATGACGCCTAGTCGTAATAGATTCATACTATACGTGGAAGTTTGAAGGTGGTGATATATATATATTCCAGCCACTGGGCTGTGAGTTTGAATCTCTCTTCAGCTAACGAGATTTAGGCACCTAGGTAGTATGACTAGCTGTCACACACAGTAAATAGGTTCGATTCATTACCAACTGCCCAATGGAAATGAGAGTGGTTATTGAGTAATATTACTCACGCAATAAGTGTGTCTGTGTGTATGCTTCGTCGCTGTTTATCCAAAATCCCTGCCAATAGCTGCTGTCGTAACACAGTAGTTGGACTTGTATATCGTAGTGATTAAATGGGCTACACTGTCAGGGAATAATGTTCCTGCAGCCCCCACCATGCCAGAAAAATCACTCGATCATCGGTTTGGCTAAAAGCAGTTACCACCGCATAGTGTAACCTGTTTACATCACGTTTCAGGGTCTGTGGATGACGTTTTACTGCTGAGCAATACGGTTTGTAATAACAGTAATATGTTTCCCTATAACGAAAAGCAAGTCACCTATACGATCCTTACACTCTGGAGTTGTTGCTGGGGTGGGTTAAGACAGTTCCATCCTGAAAATTTCCCATCCTAACTTACATTTTGGCGGTCCCTAACCGGCAGTAATATCTTACTTAGTATGGGGAGACATCTATGGAAACCACTGACCAAGTTAGCAGTGGAATGCGACCGCACTGCTAATCTTAGAACATCTGTCGGTTATGATACAACTTCTCAAATAAGTGAAGTGGATAACCCTCTCCACCACTCACCGCCCTCCCACCCCCATGTCTAAGCTAGAAGCTGATGTAGTCTAGTCTTATATCATCGTCTTACTTATGACAGTCGCGAATCGAAGATTGTCGTTCAGGGTGTTCAATGATTTGAACTCAGGGTTTGCCACCTTCTCATTTTTGTTGTAAGCGCCAGACTCTGTCATTCATCCTTTGAATTTTGGTGGGAACACTCCAGCAGCCGTGTGAAGAAAGTGAGTGAAACTTACCTGGCTGATTGGTTCAAGCTATGAACACGTAGCCCTACATGAGAGAGCATTTCGAAAAGACGACCAGGTTGTTTATACTTCATGTTGAAAATACACGAGGATTCAATGAAGTAATTATGAATAAAGCAAGAACAACAGTGTGGTTTGTGCAGAATATTATGGTACCATTATTTATTTCGTTGGCTTCTCATCAGCTGCTGCTTACAGCCTAAATAAATTGGAGAACAGAAAGAAGAGCACACCTCCGATTTTCTGAACATGTACCGAAAAGCCCACGTTTCCAGTGGGGAACAAACTCTTATAATAGCGCTATTACCAGACATCTCCTCAACACGGGTGATCATGAGGTGGAAACCGAGAAATCCTTTAAAAATTATCAATAGACAAAGGAGCTCGATTCTCTTCAAGTTGGCCGAAGCAATTTCTATCGAACACTTGAAACCAGATTTATGTGTTCAGAAAGAAGCAGTTATTAGTCTTTCCTTGCCTTGGTAACGGATGTCTTCTTTTCTCTCATCTGATTACGTAATCTTTGTCTTTAACCTCACCCTCATTCTATAATCTGTAATTTTGCTTGTCTCTTGTTTCCGTGACATGAGTTGAACTCAGTACATTGTTACTTAATTTATTAGTCACTCTGCATCTAACGCATATCTCGTCTTTATTACTTAACTAACTCCTTTACTATTCATTATATGCATACATTTATTTTATTACTTAAACTTGAACTGCCTGTGTAAAAACTATATAAGCGCAATTTTCTGAGCACTGTTCACTAATTGTGGAACTTTCTGTCAACTGACAACACGTAAAATTCGCAAGTATGTTAAAATTTTTCTGTACATAAACTTCATAATAATTTATTTAGGCTGTAAGCAGGCATCTGATGAGAAGCCAGCGAAATAAACAATGACGGTACCATCTTGTTATTCTGCACAAACCACATTGTTGTTCTTGCTTTATTCAAATTCTAACTAAACAGGTGAAGATTGGTAATACAAGTCAAGAAAATTAAGTGTTAATGAAACTAGGGTAGTAACAAAGGTGATGAATTGTTACAAACAGTTGTTAAAAGAAGTTGTGTAGTAATAGTATGAATAGTTTGATGAGTGAGTTTTACTCAGGTTGCACATAGAAACAAAGTAGATAATACGAAATTATGTAAACGTTTTAAATGAATACAAGAATAATTATAAGCAATTAAAGAACAGGTAAAGAAACAAAATTAAGTCATCAAAATAAAAAAATAAAAACATGAACTTGGACTTCAAGGGAGATTTAGCAAGCGATATTCTCAAGAGAAGGATCACATCATCGCTGAGAAGAACATTCTTTGCAGCAACACTAAGAATAGTGTTCTTGAGTAGTCGCCCACTGATCTGCAGAAGCCTCAAGGACAAGATCCCGCATGTGACCACTTCTGTGTGCATATATCAGTTCACCTGCTGCTGTGAAACCAGCTAGGTACATCGGTCGTTCGACGTGCATCCTGTCCAAGAGGATTCATGAACACTATCCAGCCAATATGGTTGCGAAAAGGCAATAGTAGTGCAATAAGCAGTGCGATAATTGAACACTTGGCTAACACTGATCATTCCATCTCAACAACAAACGCCTCCTGCTTCGAAGTAATCTACAGAGTCAAGAGTAACCTATCAAAGGCAATACGGTTTTGTCTTCTTTGTGTTTCGCTGAAGCTCTGGCCATTCACATGGGAAAACCGGAGCTGTGCTTACAAAAGAAGATTACTTGACCACTTCTACTGTCATGGTAACAACTTTTTTGATTTGTTTTGAGTTTTTTAATTTTATTTTGATGACTTAATTTTGTTTCTTTACCTGTTCTTTAATTGCTTATAATTATTCTTGTATTCATTTAGAGCTGTTACATAATTTCCTATTATGTACTTTGTTTCTATGTGTATATTGAGTAAACCTCACTCATCAAACTATTCATATTATTACATAACTTCTTTTAACAACTGTTTGTGACAACTCATCACCTTTGTTATTCAAATTCATCAAGGGGAATAAATGCATGAAGTAATTATAAATGTGCTTCGGTGGCACAACGGTTTTGACTCTCACCGACCGTGGACATGGTCCCGCGTTCGATCCCCTACCGACGCACACCTGATATCCTATGGTCGACGTGCAAAATTTGGGCTACCGATGTCACATACTGAAAATTCCATACCTGTACTAAAAATACGGTATGGAATCAAGCCATAATGAAAAATAATAATTCGTAATTTTTTTCCTCACCTTCTTCACACTCTTAGCGATGATCATCAGATGAAATTCTACTGGGGTGCCAAGGAATTATTCCTACCAGTGTATAAGAATATGTTGAATGCAATGCACCGGCATCCAGAAGCTCGTGTTCTAGTGAATTTCGCTTCACTACGTGTTGCCTATGATGTGTGCATGGAAGCTATGCAAGTGGATTGTATTCATCATCATCCTTCTAATCTAATGAATAACAGTGATGAAACTGAGAATAATAGTGGACAGGAACCACAAATCAAGTGTATTGCTGTTATTGCTGAAGGGATACCAGAGAATTTTACGCGTCGGTTAATTCAACGATCAAAAGAAAGAAATGTTCTGTTGATTGGTCCAGCGACTGTAAGTGCTTTTTGTAATATTATTATTATTACTTTGACATTTGGGCACATTTTATGATGATTCATTTGTTTAAAACTCTCGTTCACCTCGAGGACAAATCTTTTATTTCCTGCAACCGTGTAGGAGCTTACTGTGAGAACTGTTGTCATCTGAAGTAATTTAGAACCAGTGGTGTCCGTCAATGGATGCCCACTGTCCCCCCTCCCACCTCGCATTTATGTTTAATTTCAACATTGATGTATGAATGGAATAGACTGTAACTAACTTCAGTGACTTAGGGATCGACTTGTTGACTTCTGAGTACGCGGCTGATATAGTCCTCCTATCTGTCGTCTGTCTGTCTGTCTATTTTCAACATAAAACTTTGCATATATGTGCGACAGTTCAAGTCGCCACACTCCATGTAACACACAAAGCAAGAGAAGAGTGTAGAAGAAATGCATATTAGAGACAGTAAACAGAGGTGTGAGACAAAGGAAGAGTAATAACGAAGAACAATATAGTTTCATTGGAAATCATAAGTCACAAGGAGTGGATGCATCTGCGCCAGCCATTGAGAACGATTATGAGCCATGTCACCAATTGTTTCCAACCATAGATTTTTACCGTCCCGATGACCGCAACCAGTTAGGAAGTCTACACCTTCCTACGTGGCTGGCTCAAACTAACTGTTGTGGATTTTGTTGTCTGGTGAATCCATGTTTTTTTTATGATAACTCTTTTGTTTAAAACTCTCGGTTACCTCGAGGACAGATCTTTTATATAACAGAGTATATATTGGTCACACTTATACTCGAATTCATGCAATCGTGTAGGAGCTTACTGTGAGGACTATTGTCCATCTGAAGTGATTGATAACAAGTGGTGTCTGTCAATGGATGCCCACTGTCGAACGCCCCCCCCACCCCCCGAATTTCTGTTGAATTTCACCATTGATGTATTAGTGGAATTGACGGTAACTAATCTCAGTCAACGTTATAGACTTTGAGAAGGCCTTCGACAGACAGCGTTGACCGCGAAGTAATTTGGAAACTACTCGAATACTACGGTGTACCCCAAATATTCATCAACCTTATTCAACAGCTGTACGACAAAGGCACATGTCAAGTGATCCACCACGGAAAACTCAGCGAGGCGTTTGGAGGAGTAAACACAGGAGTCAGACAAAGGTGCTTATTATCACCAATGAATGATATTCCTAATTGTGGTGGACTGACTGGGTTATGCGTCAGACAATGGGTGGGAAACGAGAGGACAGGGATATCCTGGACCGACATGAAGACTGACCTAGAAGACCTGGATTTCGCGCGCTGATGATTTATGTTTGATGTCACTGTCACCAAATCGAAGACTTACAAGCGAAAACCGACCGACAAACTGGTCGAAGAAGCAGCCGGCGAAGACAGGACTCCAGGTGAACATAGACAAGACGGAGGTTATGAAAATAACCAAGCAACCAACAACGACAACAAAAACAGCAAGATCCAGAGCCAATCATCATCAACGGGAGGGATTTGAAAGAGGTTGCTTCATTCACTTATCTAGGGACCATTGTCTCAACTACAGACAGTCGGAATGGACGAGGATGTCAAATCGAGGGAGAATCGGGAAGGCGAGAAACACACACATTCATCACCAACCTGAAACCAATCTGGAAACCAATCTTCGTCACCCAGCCAGCATCAACAACAAAATTCGGTCGGATTTTCGATATTAACAACAATCAGAAACTTGGCGGGTGTTCACAAAAAATATTTCCATCAGCCTGGTGCAGACCTTCATCAACAACTGTCTTCCCTCTATACTGAAGGTCAGATGGCCGGGCCGGAAGGAATCACCGACAAGGGACTATGCGAACAAATAAACAAAACAAAAACCAAGCAATCGCCAACCAACAAATATGCAGGAGAAAGTGAAGAAGGATGGATTGGACACTCGCTGAGGAGGCCGCTCGCTGGGTGACATCGCGCCCGCGTCAGGCCATCGGTCGGGTGGAAGCCGACCGAAAGGGAAGCGGCGAGTGGGATGTCGGTGTAAGGGTGACATGGAGGAGATCGTGTGAAGAGGAGTTGAAGGAGTATGGAGTAACTGACAGGGATTCAGGTGAAAACCACAGCAGAAGGAAGACAGAAGTGGCAAGTGGAGACGTGCAGTTGAAGCCCTATGTTCCACTAGGAACCTAAGGGGACAATAATAAAAAAGTAACCTCAGCGACTTAGGGATCGGCTTGTTGACTTAGAATACACAGATGATATAGTCCTCCTAGGTGAAAATGCTGATAAAATGCAGTAGAGTGTTTGAACACCTTGAGCAGAATACCTGGAATTGTATTTGCTCCTGTGAAATTTAAGATGATGCTAGAAGAATGGACAACGCATCGACTCCTAGCTTAAGGATAGATAGGCAGGAGTGAAGTGGTAGTCGGGCGTGTTGACCACTTCACGTATTTGGGAAGTTGTATCAGCCCCAACGGGATGATTTCTGACAAAATCTCAATACGGATACAGAAAGATCGTTTGGCATTTGCCAACTTTTGCTATCTCTGGCTTAGTAGATGTGATATCTGAACGGCTATCAACAGCACTCCAATGTGGTAAGATACACCTTCATTAACCGGAAACCAGTTTGGAAATCTTCTACTTCACTCACTCACTCACTCACTCACTCACTCACTCACTCACTCACTCACTCACTCACTCACTCACTCACTCACTCACTCACTCACTCACTCACTCACTCACTCACTCACTCACTCACTCACTCACTCACTCACTCACTCACTCACTCACTCACTCACTCACTCACTCACTCACTCACTCACTCACTCACTCACTCACTCACTCACTCACTCACTCACTCACTCACTCGCTCACTCACTCACTCACTCACTCACTCACTCACTCACTCACTCACTCACTCACTCACTCACTCACTCACTCGCTCACTCACTCACTCACTCATTCACTCACTCACTCACTCACTCACTCACTCACTCACTCACTCACTCACTCACTCGCTCACTCACTCACTCACTCACTCACTCACTCACTCACTCACTCACTCACTCACTCACTCACTCACTCATTCACTCACTCACTCACTCACTCACTCACTCACTCACTCACTCACTCACTCGCTCACTCACTCACTCACTCACTCACTCACTCACTCACTCATTCACTCACTCACTCACTCACTCACTCACTCACTCACTCACTCACTCGGCCAGCACAAAGAACAAGATTCCGATTTTCAACCAATGTTCAGTCAGTCAGTCAGTTCTTCTATACAGGTCAGGTAACTTGGCGTTCGTGTCACGAAAAAGATTTCCAACTGCCAGTTACTATAGACCTTTACTAACATCTGCTCCCTTTGTTGGTTCCATACTGAAGATCAAATTGCTGGCTGGCTGGCAGCGAAAGATTATTATTATCAACAAGAAACTGTGGGAGGTGATGATGAACCAACGAAGAGCCTGTTACTCAAGAAATATGTAGAAGACAAAGTGGAGATGAATTGGGCATACATACGTTGACGAGAGGCCGTCAGTCGAATGACATCGTGTTCAATGCAGAAAATCGCTCGACTGGAACAATGAGTTGGTCGTTAGTACGAGGATAACATTAATAAGATTGTAGGAGGATGGATACAGATGAAGAGAGGATAGGTGAGAATAGAGAACCAAAAGTGGATATGTGGAGCTGTTGAAGCCATCAGTTCCACTTGGAACCCAAGGGAATACTCCTACTACTACTACTACTAATAATAATAATAATAATAATAATGTAATCACACTCCCGATGTCTTTTAAGTGCCCTTCATAGTGTAACAGGGTCTTTCTAAATTAACCCAAGAGGTACAATAAAGAAGAATAGGTAGAATGCTACAAACATTAACAAACTGTATAGCACTAGAGAGACTGAATGAGTGATATACCAGCTTGTCTAAACTTCCTTAAAACAGAAAGTCAATCAAAGTATCTTTCTGAAAATTAACATATAATTTAATGTAATATAATGCAAACAAAATGCATAGTCTTCTGAACACCTTGAGCACCAATCTTCGTATGTTTGGCATGCGATTCGCCCCTGCTGTCAAATGTAAGATGCTGCTACAGGACTGGACTACGTCAACTCTTAGCTTAGTGATAGGGAGTGAAGTGATAGAACATGTTGACCACTTCACCTATTTGGGAAGTTGTATCAGCACCAACGGACTGATTGGCGACGAAATCTCAGCATGGATCCAAAAAGCTGGAACTGTGTTCGCTGACTTATACCATCTCTGGCGTAGGCGTGACATCCGACTATCAACTAAGGGAAGTGTGTACTGCTCAGCTGCAGTTCGCTCCGTCCTTCTCTATGGCTCCGAAACATGGCCAATACGAGTTGAAGACATGAAAAGGTTGACTGCTTTCGATCATAGATGTCTGAGATCTCTTTCTCACGTTAGGTGGTGGTTTAATAAGGTAAGTAATGTTGACGTTAGGCGTAGAGTGTTGGGCAGGCAAAGAGGGAAAATCAATCGACAAGGCTATGAAGTTACACAGATTGAGATGGCTAGGTCGGTCACGTGCTGCGCATGCCTGCCTAACCATCGCCTCCCCCTCCTGACGGGCATTACTAGCTGATATAGGTGCAGGTTGGAAAAGGGTAAGTGGTGGCCAAACAAAAACATGGAATCAATCCATGAAATCCTTGACAGTTTAACTGAGTCAGGTAGGGAGGGAGATGCAGACTTCCAGGTTGGGGCCCTCGGGACTGACTCTAGGAATCAATGGCTGGAGACAATAGGTGACATGGCTCAAAATCGTTGTCAATGGCCAGATCAGATGTATTCAGTCTCTGTAATCTTTCATATTCCTTTCTACTATATTACCCATTCTGTTTCACTCTTATACTTGTCAGACTGTATTGATTCTCTTCACTCATCTTCTTGTCTACCTCTGTGTGGTATTTGGAAGGTGGCAACTCGAAGTGCTGCACTTGGGTGCCAAGTTCTGTGTTGAATCCAGACAGATAGAATGTAATATAATACGCATATACATATACAGCGTAGTGAAATGCGGGAGTGTTTCACTTATGTGTGTGTTGCCTTCCTTGACTAAAAATCTATATTTAATCGTAGATTGTGATCATCGATCTGTTTTCTGTTTATTTGTTCATTATTTTAAACTGTGTTATATATAAATGGCTTGTTCAACTATTTATTATTGAACACTATTAAACTAACTTCGATTAAGTATTGAGTACACTACACCGTTAACCTTGTACTCTACACTTCTTCTATATTTTTTTTACATAGTTTAAGTAAATAAATGCCATAAAGAAGTTTTATTGGCGTTGACAAGGTGCTATGCATGTTTGTGTGTGTCGGCTTCTTAAAATATGTGTAACTGATATTCTTGATGATCATATTTAGTGGCACACATCGGTTAGGACTCTCACCGACCGACTATGCAAGTGGTCCAGGGTTCGATCCCGCCTTACCGACGCACACCTGATATTAATTGCTCGGCGTGGAAAATTTGGGCTAGCGATGTATCACATGTTGAAAATTCCATGCTTTTGCCAAAAATACAGTGTGTGTGGAATCAAGCTTGAGCTTGAAAAGAAGTAGAGAATATACGAGACTGTTTCGTCCTACTTTGAAACCCTTTGGCAGAAGCCGTCCAGGACCTTCTGGTTACCAGGCGAGTGCTCTTAGATCATTTGGCCACACACTGGTACCCAACTTATTGGCGAACTCATGAATTCTAACTTGTGCAAGCTGGTGATTGTTTAACTAGCTTCGTCCCGAAGCCAGTCACTAGCTGGTATCAGATCAATTCTCAACAAGAATTAGTTTGTAGGCATTTGATTTGTTTCAAGTTTGATCATAGATTGTTATCAGTAGGAGACCCGACCGATAACTGCTACCTAAGCGTGGTGGTTGGGCTTGCACATCGCGATGACCTAACAAGCTGCAATGGTTGGAACAAATGTTCCTGCAGGTCCCACCACGCTAGGAAAGTTGTTAGGATAGCGAGTAGCCTAAAAGCACTCACCGGCATTGTGTAAGAATCTTTCTTACACTATGCTGGGGGTCTGAGGGTAAAATCGTACTGCTGGGGAACAGGAGCTAAAAGCAGTTACCAGCGTAGTCTGTCGGCGAAGTCTTACTGATAGGAAACAGGGATGTAACAGTAGTGAGGTGTTTCCCTCAGATGACCAGCACGCCAACCAGCCATCTATGTTGTCTCTCCACTCCGGAGGTAGAGAGAGGGTTTATAAAAGGTCAACCCCAACAATTGTACAATCCAACTCACCCTACGATAGTCCGTAACCGGCGATAAGTTTACTAATACGGAACAAATCCTAGAAACCAGTTCATACAGGCCGTGTGTGACCGGCTTGGCTCAAGCAGTTGTCCCCTGGGTTCTGTGGTCACGCAACACTAACCCTCTCTCCATTCAGGTACCCAAAGAATCAATCAACTTCCACGGTGTGAGCAGCCGGGCAGTAACAATCGCCCACACATTTCCAAAAGCATATGAGGCCTTCCTGAGCGTCATTCCACTTTACTCACAGACAGTCAGTTAGAGAAGCATTAAAACCCAGCATAGAGTACTGGATGTCCAAATTTGTCCAAGTGTGCGACTCATATCCAGTACGCACTCACCACAGGGGGTCGAAGACCTTTCAGTTACAAGTCAAACGCATAAACTGTTCAGCAACTAGGACCTTATTCAATGGCCAATCCATGAATTCTACTTTCTACCATTCTCTGGTTTTCAATACTTCTCTAACTGATATTAGTTTGTCGCGGGAAACTTGAAACAAATCAAGTGGCTACAAATAAACTCGAAAAATTATCTGATGCTTTTTAGTGACTGGTTGCAGGAGTAAGTTGACCGGAGTGTGAATTGTAGTGAGAAGTGGTGACCTCACACCCAACCTGGCAGACCCGACTGACTAACTGGTCACCACTGTCTGTCTGGATTCAACATAGAACTTGGCACCGAAGTGCAGCAGTTCGAGTTGCCACGTTCCAAATAGCACTCGAACTGCTGCACTTCGGTGCCAAGTTCTATGTTGAATCCAGACAGACAGTGGTGACCAGTTAGTCAGTCGGGTCTGCCAGGTTGGATGTGAGGATGAATACTCATCATCACGGATGACATTGACGGATGCTAGTAGTCGCACTAAAATCACGAATTGGTAGAAGTTAAAACCCATGGGACTGGCTACTGAATTGTTCCCCAATGGCTGAATGGTCTACAAGTTTGATTTGTAACTGGGAGGTCCTGTGTTCGAAACCCTGGGGTAGGTGTGGGTATTGCTGATGAGAATAGGCGTCACGTCATGAAGGGCACTTCGAACAAACTACAGACCTTCATCGTCCAACTTCACTCAAGATCAGATGTGTCCGGCCAGAAAAATGATCAGCAATAGGGATCTTTGGCAATGAATGAACCAATCCAACAGGAACCAGTTGGGCAATAAATATATAGGAAGAAATGGAGTTGTATTGGATTGACTATACTCTGAGAAAACAAACCATCAAGTGAGTGACATCAAACGCCAGGCCACACGCCATTGCTCTAGTGGAAACCCGAATGCTAAGCAGCGAGTTGGTCTTCAGTGAGAGAGGGTGACATTGAGGAAGAGGTCATGCGAAGAGGAGATGAAAGCATGTGGGCAGACGAAGAGCCAGGTTATGAGAAACGTTGGCGGAGAAGCGAATGCAATCGAGACGTGCGACTGAAGCCCTATGTTCCTGTGTGAAGTAAAGGAGACAATAATAATAATATTAATAATAATAAAAAAATATCAGTCATATACATCTCAAAAACAATGTGGATCAGTCAGAGTAGAATCAAATCATGTCCTACATTTGGTTCCCTTGGTAAATTTCGATATAGAAAGAAAGAAAGATTTGCAGTATAAAATAATTACATCATCGTTCTAATTCACAGGTTCTGTCATCAGCTGCACGTCACTATCTCAAATTACATTAGTTTTAAACATTGACAATAACATACTTCAACGTTGGTATCGATTCTTTACTGTAGACGGAGTGCTCTATGTCAACAACGACCCCCTTACACACTTTTGTTTATTTGCAAGGAAAACACAAGTGCTAATGACAAAACACCTTAACCTTCACCATAGCCCTGATCCCAATCCTAAACACAAAGTGCTATCAATCCATTGTCCGAACATTACTTAAAAGTGAGGTCTGGATGAAACTTTTGCACCTCAGTTTGTGCACAACTTTCATACGGGCACATATTGTCATAACAGCAGGTTCTATAATCCAAAGAACGACATATGTCCAATGGTCATTGGTACTTTTACATCCTGTGGTTGGCTATTCTTCTTTAGGTTGACCGAAGGATTTATTATTATCATCATCACATTATCATTGTCTCCTTTAGTTCCTAGAGAGGGACGTAGGACTTCATTTGCACGTCTCTATTGTGTGTGTGTGGTTCTCCACCATCATTTTCATAACCTGGCTCCACGTCTGCCTACATGCTTTCATCTCCTTTTCTCATGACCTCCTCCTCCTCAATGTAACCCTCGCACTGACGACCAACTTGTCGCTCCTATTCGGTGCCATATCTTTGATCCGGATAGCAAGTAACACTGATTTTAGATCGCAATTGAAAATCTGAATCTTATTTTTCATGCTTGAGTAGTAAGTACTGTTGATCTTCACACAGACTTGCGAGTAGTTGGAAGGTTGTATTGCTTGCTTCCCGATCCTCGCTACAGAAACTACACTACGATGAATTTTTGTTATTTGTATAAATTATGTGAATATATATTCAAATCGCTGTAATTGTTTCTGTCATATGTCTATTGATTTTCACACTTCTCTGTGTATGTGTATATATTACAGGTGGGTGGTTTAAAGGCTGGTTGCTTTAAAATTGGGAACACAGGCGGAATGACAGATAATATACTTGCTTCAAGACTTTATCGTCCAGGAAGGTTAGTTCATTGCATTTCTTTTCTCTGGTTTTTCTTCATTATTTGATGACACAATGCATTCTGCTATTATTTTTATGATTCCATAAAGATGCTTAAAATTGGCAAAGCAGCAGGACCAGACGGAATCCTGGCAGAAGCACTGAACAGAGACCCAGAGACATCAGTGGACCTGATGACACCTCTATTGAAGAAGGTGTGGAAAGATGTCAAGGGTTGGGAGAAAGACTACCAATTGAAGCTGCCAAAGAAAGGAGACTTAAGTCAATGCAAGAAATGGCGCGGGATTATGCTCCTGTTCATCCCAAGCAAAATACTAAGCCACATCATCCTGGAGAGAATCAAACACGTCCTGGATGAAAAACTTCAACCAGAACAGTTTGGATTTTGAGGGAACAAGTCATGCATTGATCAAATTGCAATGCTACTTATCATCCATCATTGAACAGAGTTTTTTTAATGGCGATCACCTCTCTATCTCAACTTCATCCACTCTGAAATGGCCTTCGACAGACAGCGTCGATCAAGAGGTGATTTGGAAACTACTTCGCTACTACGGGGTGCCACCAACAATTATACATCTTATCCAACAGTTGTACGACAGTGCTGCATGCCAAGTAATCCACAACGGGGAACTCATGAAATCCTTCGAGGTAAAGACGGGAGTAGGACAAGCTGGCTGCCTGCACACTATCTCCAATGTTTTTCCCGATCACGTTGGCCTGGATAGTGCGACAGACAGAGTGGGCGATGAGGAGACAGGCATAAAATAGACCCACACAAAAAGCTTAGAGGATCTGGATTTTGACGACGTGATATATGTCTGATTTCCCACAAACTGGAAGATATGAAATTGAAAAGCATCAAGTTGGCAGTAGAAGCATCCAGAGAAGATAGGCCTTCAGGTGAACATAGAGAAAACAGAGATAGGTGATGAAGATTCCTGGCCAACAACAACAGACAGCAGTCAGCATAAATGGGAGAAATCTGAAAGAAGCAACCTCCTTTCCCTACCTGCCTACCTACCTAGAAACCATCGTTTCAACTACTGGTAGACGAAGCTGATGAGGATATTAAAGCGCGAGGATTGGGAAAGCAAGTCAAGCTTTCATTTTTCTTAAGTCTGTGTGGAGCTCAACAACACTACTCAGCATGAAAATGAAAGTAAAAACTGGATTTTCAACTCCAATGTGAAGTCAGTGCTACTACACGGATCAGAGAGTTGGCGCGTCACGAAGGCAATTCGAAAAAACTGAAGACCTTCATGAACAGCTTTACTTGCTCAAAACGGCCCGAAAAGATCAGCGAGAGGGATCTCTGGCAATGAATGAACCAATCCAACAGGAACCAACTGTGCAAGAAATATGCAGGAACAAATGCAGGTGGATTGGATTGTCCATACGCTGAGAAAACAAACCATCAAGTGAGTGTAATCACACGCCAAGCCATCATTCCAGTAGAACCAGAATGGGAGGCGTCGAATCGGTCTTCAGTGAGAGGGTGACGTGAAGGAGGACTTGATGCGAAAAGGCGATGAAAGCATGTGGACACAGACGAGGTGTCAGGTGAAAACGTTGGCGCAGAACCGAACGCAGTGGAGACGTGCAGTTGAAGCCCTATATTCCTCTAGGAACTAAAGGGGATAATAATAATAATTATTATTATTTCTTTGCGTTCCGCGTGAAATGTCGAGTTTCTTGCTTAAGGTTTAAAGTTCCGCTAACACAGATTTTCTTGAAGACAGGTTGAGGTTCCTCACTTTATAGTCTACCTTCCATGCTCACATGGTTTACTGCTTGGCTAGGCGAAATTCAGGAGTCTCTCAGTTACCTGGGATAGAACCCCACATCTCATATGATGCCATGGTTGGTGAGTTTATTCCTAACACTGAACCATTGATGCAGATTGGATTTTATTCTCCTATTGTTTTATGTTGTTGTAGGTGTGCTTTGTGTGTGTGTGTGTGAGTCTGCAGCTAGTCAACAGTTGTCATTACTGCTATTGCTTGATCTAACAAGTTTCTGTGGACTGATTGACTTGCTGCTTTCAGCAGTGCACCAGTTCGAGTTAGCACACTGCATTTAGCACAAAAAAGAAGCAGAAGAAACAAAGTGATCCGAAAGAACGGTTATTTCCGCAGAAATGTAGGGTAAAAAGAAATAGCAACATGGGGAAAAGGATACGGTTTAATGCCATATGAGAGACCTCAAATTAGTGAATGCTTCTGTGCCTGCCAGCCATTGAGAATAAGGATTTTGAGCCATATATTCATCATCACCAATTGTCTTCAGCCTTCATTGATTCTTATAATCTTGTCAACCTTTCCCACTTATGAAGTCTACAGCTCCCTATGTGATTGTATCCGTCCTGAGATTTAGTAAGCTCTCTCTGCCCGTTGGGGCTAATGGAACTTCCTAAAGTAACTGAAGGGATCAAACACTACACCACTTTACTCTCATATCTTTGAGCTTGGCGTCAATGCTGTCTGCATCTTACATTCAAACACGTGCAAATCGTTTCCCACGTATTCGAAGATTTCTGCTCAAACTGTTCGGACGACTCTGCATTGTATCAACCACTTCACCTGGGAGGACAACTTAACACCCGCATATTCCTTAGTTCTCTGGAATCACTTCCCACACTCCCTAGAAACTGCTTGTAGAGACTATAAGTGGTATAAGAGTTGATTGCTTATATACAAATTTTATCAAAATATTATCATTACTACTAGTACTACTGTGGCGTGTGTTGCTGATAAGAATTATCAGTAGTATATGAGGAGACATTCATCGGCGAAGGGGGTTGTGCTCGGGGTGCTACTGAAAAGTCGGACAAAGGCTACATACAATAGTGTCGGGCGGTCAGTTGATAGATATCTGGAAGGTATTGGTTGAACAGCGATTGGTGATGGATTTGGACAGCTCGATGAACAACCAGCTGGCAATGCAGCAGTTCCGTATCACAAAGCTGGGCCTTGACGGAAACACGTTATTGTTGGTGACGAAGCTGGCGAGTCTTATTGCATCGCACAATCCGCATATTGGATGAAGAGTCATTGCCTCAGTTATTGACTCTGCAGTTCATTGAGAGTGTTCCTGACCACATTTCTCAGCAACTACAACTGGTTAATGCTGCTTTTTAAAGTGTGCGGGCGATTGTTACTACCCGGCTGTCCACACCGTGGAAGTTGATTGACTCTTCGGGTACCTGAAATAGAGAGAGGGTTAGTGTTGCGTGACCACAGAACCCAGGGGACAACTGCTTGAGCCAAGCCGGTCACACACGGCCTGTATGAACTGGTTTCTGGGATTTGTTCCGTATTAGTAAACTTATCGCCGGTTACGGACTATCGTAGGGTGAGTTGGATTGTACAGTTGTTGGGGTTGACCTTTTATAAACCCTCTCTCTACCTCCGGAGTGGAGAGACAACATGGCTGGCTGGTTGGCGTGCTGGTCATCTGAGGGAAACACCTCACTACTGTTACATCCCTGTTTCCTATCAGTAAGACTTCGCCGACAGACTACGCTGGTAACTGCTTTTAGCTCCTGTTCCCCAGCAGTACGATTTTACCCTCAGACCCCCAGCATAGTGTAAGAAAGATTCTTACACAATGCCGGTGAGTGCTTTTAGTCTAGTCGCTATCCTAAAAAATTTCCTGGCATGCTAGGAGCTGCGGAAACATTGGTTCCATCCAGTGTAGCTTGTTAGGTCATCGCGATGTGCAAGCCCAACCACCACGTCAAGGTAACGGTTAGTGCTGCACACCCTATGAATATCTCTTTGTATACTACTGATAATTTCCATCAGTAACATATGCCGCACTACTGCCTCTCGTAATACAAATGTATATTCAATCTCTTCTTCAGTGTTGCTTATGTCTCCCGATCTGGTGGAATGTCCAACGAACTGAACAATATCATCTCGATTAATTCAGATGGTGTTTATGAAGGTGTAGCTATCGGTGGGGATCGTTTCCCTGGTTCAACATTTCTTGATCATATTCTACGTTATGAAGGCAATCCTGAAGTTGGTATGATTGTTGTATTGGGTGAAGTAAGTACAATGGGAGGAAAAAAAATCGATTGATTGATTTATTGATCGCTATCTCTATTTATGAATCTCTGGCTTTTTATTGGTTTGTGTTTTTCTCTGTCTGTCAGTCTGTTTTCGACATAGACCTTTGCACATATGTGCGTCAGTTCAAGTCGCCACACTCACTCCATGTAGCACACAAAGCAAGAGAAGTTGAAAGTAGTAGAGATGCTGATATATATATATCCATATAATATGAGTGTTTTGTTTGACAGTCAGATATATTTTGCTATGTATATATGGATCGATATTCCATTATAATTAGCCAATCATGTTAAGACTGTCTATTGATTTGTTCATTTTGAATATTCGCTCACACACTTGTTCGGACATTCATATATATTTTGCTCTCACACTCTTGTGTGACATATTGATTCTCCTTGTGTTTGGAAAATAGAAGTATCATCGGAAACCTAGTGGTCTTCTGATTTCCGTCTTTCTTGCGTCAGGACTATTAAATTCTCGACCAGTACATAAGAATAATTTGGCGACGAGTACATAATAGATGCATAATACAGAGACAGTAAACCGAGATATGAGACAAAGGAATAGTAATAATGGCGAATAATATAGTTTCATTGGAAATCATAAGTCACAAGAAGTGGATGCATCTGCACCGGCCAGCCATTGAAAACGATTTTGAGCTATATCACCAATTATCTCCAGTCTTCATTGGTTCTTATTATCTCGAGGATTCCAACCAATCAGGAAGTCTACACTTTCCTAAGTGGCTTGAACTAACTGTTGTGGATTTCGTTGACTGGTGCCATGTTTTGTTTGACTTCCGCTAGCTCTTTCCCAGTCTGCCCCTATGTCAGCTAACATTGCCCATTGGTCGAGGAAAGCGATGACTAGGCACGTGTGACACATGTCCTAACCATATGAGTCGATGTAACTGCTTCACAGCCTCGTCTATCGCTTCCTCCCCCCCTCTTTACCTATCACTCGATACCTAGCCTCAATATTGCTCATTCTGTTGTACCATTTCACACGAGAGATATAACACAGGCACCTATGCTCAAACACAGGTAACCCTTTCATGTTTTCTACTTTCAATGACCAGATGTCACAGCCATCAAGGAGGAACCAGAGAAGTGCCAATGAGTAGTACACACGCTCTTTAGCCAATATTCAGCTGTATTTCACGTCTACGCCAGAGACGGCGTAATCTGGCATATGCTAAACTAGCTTTCTGCATCTGTGCTGAGATTTTGTCAGTGACCAACCCTTTGGCAGTGGCTGACGCAACTTCCTAAATAAGTGAAGCGGTCAACGTGATTTACCTTTGGAGTCCTTCCATCAAGTCCTGCTGCTTTGCCTCGTTTCAGACCAGTGACAGCCTTAGTAACCTCAGTTAGGGACGGAGAGCCTGTGTTTATATCTCATTCAGGGTGGATAGGTGGATTAATTTGTCAACTTGAGTTACTGCTATTCAGAATAGATCTTCAGCACATAATAGTAGTGTATGTAGGTTAATGGGACACGAATCGATTCCAATCAATTGGATCAGTTGGTTGAGTATTGAACCTTCCGACCAACGTGTTGTTGTAACGGTAGAAGATGAAAGACATTGGCAAATAAATGTTGTTTATCTGGAATTTGGTATCGTTATACAGCCAAATTATGTACACCTTATCTTCAAATCATTATTTTCGTAGGTCTTCCGTGTTGTGCCTGCTACTTCTGGCCTTCCTTCATATTGTGTGTGTGTGTTTCTTTGTGTTCTTTTCACGTGTCTCCCAAGTATCACCGCAACGCAATATTATTTGCTTCCTCTGGAGTCAAATATCTCTCTCTCTTCTATTTTATGATTTTTATGCCGATGAACATCTATTTATAAAGATACTGACTGACTGTTTTTAACGTAGAACGTTGCACCGATGTGCAACAGTTCTATTGCTATTCCCTCAGACTTCTGTTTATTATATCTCTTTACTGCCTTCTCTTGTTTTTTGTGCTACATGGAGTGAGTGTGGTGACTTGAACTGCTGCACATCGGTGCAAAGTTCCACGTTGAAACCAATCAATGAGTCAAAATGGACTTTTGCACTCACTTTGTTGTATGTTCGCGTTTAAGTAGAGTGGGCTGGTTGGAAGGGGATGTGGGATAGACAGCTGTTATAAAGTGTTGTTGGCGTATTATTATTATTACTATTTATTATTATATCCTTTAATTCCTAGAGGAACATAGGACTTCAGCTGCGCATCTCCGTTGCCTTCTGTCTTCTGCCAACTTTTTCATTCCACTCCAAATCTGCCCACATGGTTTCATCTCCTCCTCACATGACCTCCTTCAAGTCACCCCACTCTTGCACTGACGACCAACTGACTCGCCGCTTCCCTTTAGGGTTCCACTCGAGCCATGGCTTGTCTAGTAATGTCACTTGATGGTTTCCTCAGAGTATGGCCACCAATCTATCTCCATTTCTTCCTGCATATTTGTGTCACAATCGGTTCCTGCTGGGTTGGTTCGCTCATTGCAGGAGATCCCTGTTGCTGATCTTTTCTAACCATCTGATCTTGAGTATTGAGCGAAGACAGCTGTCGATTGATGAAGGTCTGTAGTTTGTTTGAGGTGCTCTTTATGACACGCCAAATCTCTGATCCGTATAGCGAGTAGCACTGACTTCACATTGGAGTTGAAAATCCGGATCTTATTTTTGATGCTGAGTTCTGTTGACCTCCACACAGACTTAAGAGTAATGAAAGCCTGTCTTGCTTTCCCAAACCTTGTTTTGATATCCTCGTCAGTTCCGCCTGTAGTTGAAACGATGCTTCCCAGGTAGGAAGGTATGTAGGTAAAGGAGGTTGTTTCTTTCAGGTTCTTCCCACTTATGCTGACTGTCGTCTGTTGTTGTTGTTTCTGTTGGCCAGGAATCTTCGTCACCTCTGTTTTATCTATGTTCACTTGAAGTCCTACCTTTGATGCTCGCCTTTTCTGCCAACTTGTTGCTTTTCACTTTCATATCTTCCAGTGTTTGTGGGAAATCAGACATATATCATCAGCGAAGTCCAGATCCTCCAAGTTGTTTTTTGTGTGAGTCCATTTTATTCCTGTTTCCGCATTGGCCGTTGTCTGTCGCATTATCCAGTGTACTGCAATCAGGAAGATCATTGGCGATAGTAGACAGCCAGCTTGCCTCGCTCCCGTTCTCACTTCGAAGGCTTCCGTAAGTTTCCTGTTGTGGATTACTTGGCATGCAGCACTGTCGTACAACTGTTGGATGAGATGTATAATTGTCGATGGGACCCCTTGGTAGTAGCGAAGTAGTTTCCAAATCACCTCCTGATAGACGCTGTCGAAAGCTTTATCAAAGTGGATGAAGTTGAGATAGAGAGGTGACTGCCATTCCGAGCTTTGTTCAGTGACAATCCGTAGAGTGGTGATTTGATCAATGCATGACTAGTTTCTCCTGAATCCAGCTTGTTCCGGTCGTAGTTTTTCATCCACGGTGGCTTGTTTGATTCTCTCCAGGATGATGCGGCTTAGTATATTGCTTAGGATGGACAGGAGCATAATTCCGCGCCAGTTTTTGTATTGACTTAAGTCTTCTTTCTTTGGTAGTTTGAATAAGTATCCTTTCTTCCAATCCTCAGGTACTTTGCCCTCTTGGCGTAGTCGGACGGTATTCGTGAGCAGCGCGTTTTTATCCAATAATTAAGGATCTCTGAGTACTACTTCCGTTGGCACCATGACAATCTTTATTGATTTGTTGATTAATGAATGTTGTGTAATACGTCCCTTTAAAAGCTCATCATCAAGCCATCATCCCCTTCTTCAGTTTTTTTTGGTATACCATTGGTTTTACTTTTATTTTCTGATATTTCCCATATTTCTCTGGCCTATTAGGTTGGTGGTGTTGAAGAATACGCCTTAATCGATGCTGTCAAATCAGGTAAAGTGAAAAAGCCAATTATAGCCTGGTGTATTGGTTCATGTGGAGAATTATTAGCCGCTGTAGATGATACAGGCAGTGGATCAATTCAATTTGGTCATGCTGGTGCATGTGCTAATTCATTGAAGGAAACGGCTACCGCCAAAAATAAAGCGTTGGCTGACGTTGGAATACATGTACCTTCATCATTCGATGAATTGGATCTGTTGATTAGGTAAGTAGATTTTGAAGGGGGATATTTTGTTTATTTTGTTGCATTGCGTGATGGTGGTGGTCCATTCTTATTTTGTGTTTTATTTTTTGAATGGAACAGTTCAACAAGCGTTCACTTGCTTACTCTGTAGGTGGTGTTTTAAGCTACTGACAAGATTTTGAATTAAATTGAATTTTAGATTTTCCCATCGATTGCTTGGACCGAAGTGCTCAGTCTCAAGTTGACATGTCTGTTGACTTCTTGTTCAGATGCTTCGACGATGTCTGGGGCATTTAATTAGAATTCAATTGGTGGATGGTGACTAGCAGTAGAATCCAGGATGTGCACAGTTCTTCCTATTTGGGACTCGTCAACCAATGGATGTACCTGCATTCCCCAGTAAGTCAGTGGTGGTATTCTCATCGAGGCTTGAACCCAGTGCCCATAGTTTCGAACACCAAATCGTTATCCACTAAATCACTTGGGCCATGACAGCCACCTCTTGTGCAACGGGTCATATTCATTATTTAATTGAATTTAAGATTTTCCCGTCGACATGTCAACCTGAGAGCGAGCACTTCGGCCCAATCAATCGACGGGGAAATCTAAAATTGAATTGAACAATTAATATGACCTGCTTTGGCATTTGAAACTATGGGCACTGGGTTCAAGCCTCGGTGAGAATACCACCACTGACTCACTGGGGAATGCAGGTACATCCATTGGTTGACGAGTCCCAAATAGGACGAAATGTGCATCTTGGATTCTACCGCTAGTCACCATCCACCAATTAAATTCTAATTAAATGCCCCAGACATCGTCGAAGCATGTGCACAAGAAGCCAACAGACATATCAATTCCATTCAGTCCCCCATCCCCCTCACTTCCTCTTTATGGCTTTCATACTCAACCTAGAATAGCTATCTCTTCTAGTACTGTTAACTTTATTATGAATATCATAGTGTGACGCGGTTGCATCTTCCTCCTAATGTAAGATGATACTACAAGACTTCACTGGATTGGACTACATTGACGCCTAGTTTAGAAATAGATAGTGAAGTGGCGGAGTACGTTGACCGCTTCACTTGTTTGGGAAGTTGCACCAGCCAACGCCAACGAGTTGATCACTGACGAAATCTCTGCACGGATACAGAAGGCTCGTTTCGCGTATGTCAGTTTATGCCGTCTTTGGCGTAGACGTGATATCCGACTGGCCGTCATCCAAAGGGCGTGTGTACTGCTCATCAGTCCACCCCATCCTCCTTTATGACTGTGAGTCAGACATGATCATTGGAAGTTGAAAATATGAAAAGCCTGGTTAGCGCTGTCTTTGATCATAGGTGCCTGCGTTCTATCTCCCATTTGAAGTGGTATAATAGGGTGAGCAATACTGAGGTTAGTCATCGGTCGAGTGTTAGGTAAGGAGAGAGAGAGGGGGGAAATCAACCAGTCGACGAGGCTGTGAAGCTGCATCGACTGAGGTGTTTGGGATATGTGTTACACATGCCTAGTCATCGCCTTTCTCGACGGGTAATATTAACCAACATAGGGTTTGGTTGGGGAAGAGCCAGTGGTGGTCAAACCAAAACATAGTTTGAGCCAGCAACGTAGGAAGGTGTGGACATCCTGACTGATTGAGGTCCTTGGGATAATAAGAAACAATGCAGGTTGGATACAAGTGGTGATGTGTCTCAGAATCCTCGTTCTCAATGGCTGGTGCAGATGCATCCACTCCTTGTGATTTATAATACCCAATAAAACTATATTTTTCATCGTACATTGTGGCGAGTTATCAGCGGTTCTCTTATCGATATGAATCCATGATTGAACACGTACTCTGGTGAAGCTGGCTGCTAGCCAAAAGTCTGGTAGACAGTAAGTTTACGTCAATTTTTACGTCCTCAATATTGGTCGTGAGAAAGAGAGAAAGAACAAAGATTGACTGACTGACTGACTCAACAACCAATCACAGAACACTTTGTTTGCGTAGGCGGATACAATTTGCAGATAGATAATCTGAACTTCAAGAAACAGCCACAAAGAGATAGAAGATTAACGTTCAACGAGAACCAACCAATCAGAAGACTGTGTTGGTTTGCTTACGATAATCTGTAATAATGTACATGGAAATCTATAAATATGTGTTGATTTCTTAAATAAACGATCTGTTGCCTTGCCTTCTGTCGTTACAGTACCATAATATGCATTGCATACCAATGAATGTGTTAGTGTTTAGAAAGGGCTTTGAAGCATAACTTTGCTAGTCTATTTGTCTTTAGTGCAATAGTGATTATAAAATCTATATTATTATTATTATTATTTATGATGGAAATTGTTTACTTATGTGTAAATTAATGTTTTCTGTTCTATATTTAAAACTTTATGCACGGTCGATTTATTGTTATTATTATTATTACTTCCACAACAAATACTTTCTATTGTGAACTCAATGGATTCTTTATTCAAATGAATAACAACAACAAGACGAAGAGTATTAGTAAAAATAGAAAACCTGAATGCATCTAGATTTCGCACTTGTCAACACTCTTCAGCTGTGATTGAAATTATGCAAAGGAAATCTCTCTCTCTCACACTTTTTTTCCCTTCTTCTTATATGACTTAATTCTTTTGAATGTAATCAATTTTTAGTAGCTTGAAAATCCTCATTGTGTCATATAAAAAAGAGAAGACGTTCAGCGAAGGGACTCTTTTCGGCGAATTCATTCTAATAGCATTTATATATAATTATTTGTGTGTGTGTGTACATGAGGTTTGTCAAGTTTAGATAATTGATCAGGTAATAAAAGAATGATCTTACATAGAAACAAGGTTAATCAGACAGCAACTAAAGTAAGATTGAGTTAGTTAGTAAGTTAGATGGCGTAATATAGTTGACTAGAATGTTTTAACTTAGGTCAGAGTAGCAACAGAGGTAATTAAACGCATAAAAACTTGGTACAATATGACACCAAGAAGGATGCGCCACACAATAATAATAAAACAACAAAGATCAAAAGAAAAAAAGAAGAGAAAATATATATATATATAATTAGAGAACGGATAAAGAACTTCATCTGGAAGGAAAACAGTCATGCTTAACAAGTTCAGGCGCCCAGACCGAAGCAAGTTGTTTTATCAAGGGACCACCCGCCAGAGCCTTTGACTCGGAATCTAATCCTCAAGGCAACGGATCAGCGTCAGGAGCTGCATTCCCATGGTTTCCGGTGACCCATATGGGTTCATACGCCATTTGATCCGATTGGATGATACTGGAGCCCATGTACGCCATAGTAACTGCTTTTAGTTTCACCGCTATCCAGAAAACCTTTCTGACATGGTAGGACCTACAGGGACAGAGTCCCAGTCAGTTTAGCATGTTGAGTCATTACGGTATTCAAGCCCGACCCCCACGATGAGAAGGTAGCAGTTATCTGCCGGGGAAGTTAGTAGATGTGACGCATAACTGAATTCCTAAAACAATTTCTACAATGGAAAGTACTACTACTACTACGAGTCAAATCAAGCGATGATAAAATAATGCAATTATATAAACGAAGTTAGAAAGTTGTGTGATATGTGTGTCTTGGTAGGATGATGAGCAGGGTAATAAATTGTTCTCAAAACTTCGTCATCAGCGAATATTACTGTATAACAAACACACTGTGAGAATTTATCAAAATAAATTTTACCCATAATGGAATTGTACTCTACCACACAGTGCACACAGTTCTATTCTTCTATGTTAGTTAAATTATCTTACGTTATAAATCATTCCAAATGTCAGACAGTTCATTCCACTTTCAGTTATGAACGTGTGATGCAGACGAACTTGTTCATTTATAAGAAACCTTGGAATAATTCTATTCTCTACCCTTTCTTGGTCATCCCATAATAATCTTGTCGATTTCTAAGAAAATTTTCAGTTTAACTTTCTATATTAATAATTTGAAACAATCAAGTATCACTCAATCTCCTTCTCTATTTGTCTGTCTCAACTTTTATAGTTTCTTAACTTTTGCAGCATCTTACCTGCTTTCTTCTATTGCCCCCAGTTAGTCTTTGCTGGAATACTCATTCAAAAACGACTATGTCATATTGCTCAGGGTATTAATCGGGTTGTCAGTAGGGTAAGTTGTGTGCTATGTAGTCAGCTCGTTACTACTATCAAAGTCCAGTTCATTGAGTGCATACAAGACATGAATGTGTCTAACAAAATTATGCTGTCCTTTGACATTGAGTCACTTTTCACCAATGTCTCACTCACAGAAACGGTCTGCTTCATATGCAGATATATAGATGACAACCACCTCGATATTGGAATACCGACAACATACTTGAAAGAATGATTATTGAGATGCACTCTGAACGTCCAGTTCACATTCAATGACACAATCTACAGACAAAAGGATGGTATTGCAATGGGATCTCCGTTAGGTCCACTACTATCAGATTACTTCCTGGTAAGCCTCGAGAGAGGTTCACTAAAGCCAAGTATTGACAATTTGCGATTGTATAAAAGATTCGTGGACGATATTTTCATTATTTGTGACAACAACAACGACCCCAGTCTGCTGCTGAAGACATTTAACTGCTGCTATCCAGCAATAAAATTCACTCTTGAAATGGAAAACGAGTCAAAAATTCCGTTTCTTGATGTGGAACTAACAAGAAGAGCTGATGGAAGCCTAAGAAGATCAATCCATAGAAAATCTACGTGGAATGGTCAACTAATGACAACTTCTATAGTTGGGTACCCATTCAACAAAAGCGAAATTCAATTAAATCACTTGCCACCCGCATCCGACGCATCTGTATTCCCGACGTTCTGGAAACAGAATTAGATATTTTAAGAGAAATCTTCATCCAAAATGGATAGCCAATAAGATTTATCGACAAAAATATGAGACCAATAATTCAGAAAAACGAAACTTTAACTGCACCTAAAAAGAAACTCTACATGAACTTGTATTTCAAGGGAGATTTAGCAAGTGATATTCTCAAGAGAAGGATCACATCATCGC